AAGGGTTGAAGGTAAAAATTGGTACTGCAACATGGAAGAGGCAATAGTAGGGGGCACATGTTCAGAATACCTTTGCATGGTCAGCTGAGCAACTTTGCTAGGCAGCGATATATGGATTTCATTGCCAGTTCCCAAAGAAAACGCAGAAAAGCATGGCTATAAGAACACGGCAAATGGTTTTCCCGGCGGCTTTGGATGGGAGAGACGTCCAAAAGAACAGGGATCAAGCAAAAACAAACAAGGATCAACACAACAAATAGGAATCAACAAAAACAATACCAGAAAGAAAGAACACCAGTAATAAATGACAAACAAGACTACATGACATAATGACAATGAACGGTCTGAAAGGTTCTACATGGACGTGTCACACGTTGCTCTGCACGGTGCCAGTATCCGAGTTTAAGCCCTGGATGCACCCAGAATGTAAGGGAGATGCGCTGCGGCCTCCCCCCTCAGTCCACCCTCCGGCACAACACAACACAACAAAATGTTCACCTATATATATATATATGACAAACTACATTTGCATTGAACGGATGTTTTCAACACTCAGCTGCTATCATGATTTTGTAGGCAATAATGTATCAGACAATCAACATGTGTGAGAGTCATCGTGCCAATGCAGCTCCAAGGGGTTCGGAGCATCCAAAACAAGACCAACTCCGCTTGCTTGCTGTGACACCGCCACAGAGGTGGAGGATATACCTGATGTATGGTAGGGGTATTTGATCCCCTTGCCAAAGCCAAGGCAGCATAAGGCAGCGGGCCCACCTTTAGCCATGTCCAATGCTTCAGTCTTGCTTCTTAGCTAGAAAAAGGTGTGCCTACTTACTTGCGTAACCCCTCCTACTACTACTACTACTACTACGACTTCTTCTTCTTTTTCTTCTTCTACTACTTCAAACTACTGCTACGAGACGACGACCACGACAACGACCACGAGGCCAACGCTACTCACTCTCAACTACTACGGATACCCTGCTGCTACATGCTGCCACTACTGTTGGTGCCATCACGATCACTACAATACTACTCTCAGTATCGCGTTTGCTGCTACTATAGTACTATAGTGTTTAACGTGTGTGTGTGTGTTTTTTTCCACACCTGCTTTTGTTGACGTTGCCACTGTGCACGCTACTGTTCATATATGGTTGATCCTTCTTTTTTTGGTCCTCAATTTTGATTTTTTGGGGTTTCTTTGTTTATAGATTTGCTTTTGTGATTGGTCTCTATGTGTGTTTCTGTTGATTTGTTTGGTTCATTTTGTTATTGAGCCTTGATTGTTGTATGAAACCAGCACTGAACAATATGAAAGAGGACGGCATTTGTTAGGGGCCGCATGTACGGCTAGTTCTGCCCCAATAACACAATAGTGATCGGACCAACTGACTGGAAACACTGTAGTTCTACAGGCCCTGATCTACCATTATCATTCACTTTTGGCCAAGAAAGGTGGTTACTCCCTCCAAAAAGGGACAGGATCCAACTCACTCGAACTCGAACAGATCCCTTGGAGCCTCATTGAGGGTTGGGATTTGATTTTGCTGCCGTAGGCGACACGTGTGCGGTCAGCGCCAAGGCTGCGGGATATGGCGCCAAGTCATGATTTTCTGGAACAGGTGCAGGGTTTTCAGATACAGCAAGATCACAAGCAAGAGTCGAACAAATTGATTGAATCACGAACCACAAGAATAGAACAGTGTCTACTGTATATACTTCTCATTGGCTGGGTGAAACGGTGCTGCATAACATGGGACAACATGTTTGAACTTCATGGTCATCAACAGTATATAACTCCTATTTCTTCAAAACTTTGAACCTTCAAGTCGTGAGTTTCGACCGGTCACACTTGATGCTATCCTTTGTGTTTTTTGGACAGTGTGCAGCTTCCTGCGCCTACTTTCCACACCACGAGGGCGTGAAAAGGATTGAGAAGGCGCAGCACGGGCCCAAACTCCCAACGTTCATGGTCCCAAACACGTCGGCTTGAGTGGGAGCCGCTCCCAAGATCCCTCCTTGGAACATCGAACACCTGGAGGGTGTTTTCATCCTCCATTGTCACGGACGTTGGACACTCGAAACCGTCACCCTTGAGAGCCGGTGATTCTTTGGGATGGCGTCCAAAAGACACCGTATACGGTGCGTCTCTGTTTCTGAGCGGGCCCCAAAAACGTCAAAGCCCCAAAAAGAAGCCCTAAAAGCCACGTCCAAGCGTGAAATTCCTGCTGGGTTCGCCTGGCACAGTGACCAGGCTATCCATCAGGCTATGCCTTTGGTCTAATGGCGGCATATCACTGGCAACAGCTCGGCAGCTTGCCTTGCCGGAGTCGAAAGACCTGGAGGAATCGAGACGGACCGGGTCCATATGGATGTGGCCTCTCATGGCTATGTATATGTGTGTGTGATAATACATATCGTCATACAATAATTGTACACATATAATTATGTATACATGCAGTTTTATCCAGTAACTGAGTCGATTGTGGCCACTCAGTTTGTCCAAGATTTGATGCAAACCGGCGCTGGGTTTGCAGCAATACCTAGATCTAATTCGTATGAGGCACTTTTCCAAAAAAGTTGCCTTTTACCGTACGGCGGCGTAAATTGTAAAGCTGCGGCGTTTCTTGATTTTGCGGCGACGTTTTTCGTGGTTGGCTCAAAGTTGCATAGTTGGGTGATTTGTGCCCTTTGTTGGGTATAGTTGAGTATAATTGTGTCAAACCCCGAAGGTTGATGAACGCACTCCAATGTGTGAACTTCTTGTCAACATACCGACCGGTAACCTTTGGGAAGATGCGGAATTGGTGCAGTGCTTGAACTATGTTTTAGCTTCGAAACGGCTGGTCATTCCGGAAGAGTACCAACCAGTGTTTCATATTTTTTTGTTCGTGCTTCAGAGCTCCCTGAAAGAGAGTGATGAGCATTCAACACAAACTTTGGAATTACGTTCTTGAGTTTCATACGTGTTGCGTGAAATGTGCGAAATTTGCCGGAAAAAATGGCGGCGTAAATCCGCATAATGGCGGCGTAAATTCCCGTAATCATTTTGGCAACATTTGTCAACCATGGACCACTGAGATTGCTTGAGTACCAGAAGTTGGGTATACATAGTTGGGTAAACTTGGCAATGGGAATCGTAGAGCGGTCAGGGATTTGGGATGACGTTATCGTGGAGGTGAGTGTGGGGGTTTGGTTTCTACCTGGTGTTACTTGGGGAATCTAACTGAGTATCCTTGATCCTGGCGTGGAGGAGACATGCACCATCCTTCCCCATATATGGAATGTGGCTTTTTGTTTTCTGGTGGCATTTTTTTTTGGATGACGGCAATTTTCCACACTGGTGGCAAAAAATTTTGCCACAATGGAAAGCGGCACTTTTTTCGTCCACCAGGTGGATCTAGGTATATATGTATTTCTTTTGGAGGTGCCTCTTGGTGCAGGTGGGTCATACGAGGCAAGGACGCTTTTGGACACTTGATCTGGACACTTTTCTCACTTCCACCAGCACAGCTTGGCAAATGCTCCAGCCGGATTGAGCAGAAAACATCGTGAGAGTTGGTGCCTCCAGTATGACGAGTTGTCAATTTCTCTTAGACTATCCTTGTTTGTTCCTCGGACATGCTTGTCACTCTTATGTGTCGAATGTGGTGGTATTGAGGGTCTAAACCACCCTCCCAGTCACACTAACCCCTATAATACTCCCAGTCACCTCCCTTTGTACAGACTGGGCTTTGCTAGAGCTAGGGCCCTTAGGCCTGAGCCTTTTTATCAGGCCATATCAGACCCTTCCTCGTTTTGGGATGGTGCGAGCCGAGGCCTTCACGGCCCTTTGCACCCCAGCTCGCGGCAGAGTTTATCGGCCTTCTGCCGCGAGGTGCGATCAGGAGAGGAGCACATCGTGGGACATCGTGGCACGTGTGATCGCGTGTGATTGAAAGAGTGCAACAGGACGAATCAGCAAATCTACCAGGAGTCACATGTCGGGGTGCCGAACTTGGAGGTTAGGGGTGCCCATGATCCACTTACTTAGGGACCAAACGCCACCCCTTTGGGACCCCTGGTATGCAAATCTTGTTGGCGATGCTTCATGTAACTTCATGCAGATGAAGCCTTCCTACAATAGGTTGTGTGACATTCTTTGATCCCCGTTGGTTTGGAGTTCCAGTTGGTTTGGAGATGTTGGAGTACAACATGTTCTCAAAGCCCTCAGACCAATGCAATGGCCAACCGAAGAATTTGGCACGTTGCATGTGACTCTAATTCGGGCACTGATTGACAGTGGTTTCAGAGTAGATGGCGCAGACAACAAGATGTCCTTTACATGGGGTTCCATATAAACCACCTCTTGGGGTTTGTGCCATCAACTCTCAATCCACTCTAATTCGGACCTGGTGTCTCCGTGCAGCACTCAGCCATCTCCGACCATCCGCACCTCCCAGGCCGACCATCCGGTGCCGGTGGCCATCGACATGGATCAGGTGAACTTGGACCAGGTGAGTGAACTCTTCGTGGACTTCTTCAGGCACCGGACGGCCGGACGGCCACTGGGCGCCGGACGGCGGGTTGCGGGACGTCGGGGAGAGTCGCGCCACCGACCTGGCGGCGCGGAGGCGAATCGCCCTCACGAAGCACAGCATGGATGAGTATGGGGTAAAAGTTCACGTTGCCTAGCTATTTGCTACGTTCGGGGCTCCTGGCAGCGCTACTAGGAGCAAGGACGCTACTAGGGGCTTGTGGCCTTACTACTAAGTTACTAGGAACAAGAAGCTACTACTGGTTTTGCTCGTTGAGGGATGGGGGTATATGGGGGCCCCCGAACCGCCCGAGGGACCTCGCCTGCAAATCCCCTTTTTGGGAGCCTTGGTCCAGTGCGCAATGGCGCAATGAATCGTTCGTGTTCTTCTTTTTCGTGTCGCATGTGGTTGACATGTGCGCGCGCGGTTTCACCTTACCTGACCTCTTCCTCTTTCTGGCCTGCCGGCCTGCCGCCGTATACGGGCTCCAGCTAGTGTCTTGGGTGCGTGGTTCATTAAATGTACCAGCAGACTTGTATCCCAATTGCATTTGATTGGCTGATGTCGTCCAGGCTCGGGTAGCGGGCTGGGGTCGGGCGGGCCAGGACCGAGACAGAAAGAGCAGCGAAACAAACAAACAAAACAAAAAACCATCAACAAACAGGTAAGCAACCAACATCATCTGAACACGCGATGGAATTGTTGAGTGCAGGGATCTAGTGGTGGTTGCTGGGCTTTCTTGGGGCATGCTGCAGGGTTTGGAATTTGGGATGGCGATCGCAAGCAAGAGAACAAGCATGCAAGCACAGGATCACACAGAAGGCAGCAGATCACAAAAATCCGGAGGAACATCCCTCCGTGCATTGGATCAAAACGTGTTGATAAGCTCGTAGCTGGAAGCTAATGAACCAACGGCATTACCGTTTCCAAGTTCATTGTTTGACTCCAGCTTGTAATTTTGAGCGATCGCTTACAAGATCTCTTGAAGTCATCCTTCCAACTCATGAAGTTATATATATAGTTATATAGGATAGCTTTGGGTCAAGTGTCAAGCCACCCACACGAGCCGTTCTTTGGCATTTTGACAGAGGCAGTTGTGTTCATTGTTTCTTAACCGTGGTCCAGTAGTATGGAGTTTTGCCCATAAGAGTTAAGTGATCCCTAAATGGACCTTGGATTGGAATTTGTGTTGGAGTATATACATTTTAATCACATCACTTGGGGTTCACTGCGCCATCGAGTTCCAACCGTTTTTTCTCTCACCCCCGTCCAACCGTGCACAGTGGCCGACTCAGGATGACTCAGCCGACCAAAGGTGGAAATGCCATGGAAGGGGTGGAAGTACCATGGGTTCGTCGCCGCGGGCCACAGACCAAAGCCCAAGGCCCGGGAGCTGCGTTCCGAGCAGTGAAGGGGGAGGCTGTAAGGCTGCAGCCTAAGAAGATCTAAAGTCTAAGACGATCTAAGATATCTAAGGAGCAATTGGATTAAGGTTGATGGGTTATGATGTCCCTGATTCCCTCACTTTCAAGCACACCTTTTGCAAGACATGTTGTTTCACTGATGTTCAGATCATTGTTTGTTTGCCCGGACCTGAGCAATGTGTGATCCATGTGAATCTACGGTATATATATATATATTAATGTATATTTATATATGTGAATATAATAGAATAGTCATATTGAATATATGTATATAGACAAAAGCCTTGGATTCCTTGGATGTGGGGTCTCTATGAATTTTCTTAATCACCTCAATGGAGTTCATTGGATTTGAATGTGACGCGAAGTGATCTCAGAGGTCGGAGATCAGATATGTCGCCAGTCGCCATATCGCGCAGGTGGGACGAAGGGGCAAACAGCCAGGTGCGCCAACCGCTGAGGAGGTCTTTTAATTTTGGTTGGTGAGGGCTGCAAAACAAGGATTGTATGAGATGCATAGTTGGAGAGGATTGCTGAGGAAGGATCATATATGTATATATATACTGTACAGTAGGTGATATTGAAGGTTTCAAATTTCAAAGGCATGATTTTAGACCTGCAGCATTCAACAAGTGGCCACCGTTCGCTGTCAAGATCCCAAACGGTCGGGTTTTTGCTGATATGATTCAAGCGATTCAAGCGGGCCATTGCGATTCAAGCGGGTGGCCCCGAGAAAGGTATAGAAGAGCTTGGCTCGTTCTTGACCAATGGTTTGTGCCCAGCAATTCTGCCGCAGTCACTGGCAACGCCCCTGCCAAGGGAGACCCTTGACCTCCAAAAGCTTGGGGGGAAGCCGCTGCGTCGGTGCATCAAACGAAGCCAGGATCGAAAAATCTAATCGGAGCAGCTATCGCCAAGAGAAGACGTGGCGAGCTGAGAGATCAACTCTCGGCATGTTTGGGTGAATGACAACTCTGTTTTTAACTATGTTTATAGTTACAGGAAGTATATTTATTATTACGGTTGCTGTTAGGTTACTTATTACTGTTAGTGTTGCTTATTACTTTTGTTCTTAGTATGTTGAGTTATTACATGTCCAGGAGTGAAGCAAGGTAGCAGTACCTCAGACAACCTTCTTAAGAGGTATAGCTGAGGAGCGTTTATATGATTAGTTTCCGTTTGATTGAACTTCATTTGGGCAGATCCAGGGTTTTTTCGGTACCGTGGCCCTTCTATGAGTGGAAAACCACTCACCACGACGGGTGCCACTTCCGACTTGCCACGGGAACCGTCTTCCCCAGGCACCCTGGGAACTGCCCTAGCATTCAGGACGGAGATGGACCTTTCCATCTGGACGAGAGCGGGACTACCTCACATGTTGCAACATGGACTGTCCAGAACATGCGGTTCCGACAGTCCATGTGAGCGGGTTCCACACCGTCCGGAAGGTCGGATGAAACAGTTGGGAAGCATCCACCATAAGGAGGGATCCACCAGAAGGAGGCATCTCAAAGACCAAATCTCTTCAAGGGATCTGACACTGTTACCTGTATACTATATGTTTGATGGCCTTTACTTTAATTATTCCAGGGTGGCATGTCACATCTGGTATAGGGAGATAGCGGGGTCTAAGGCAGGGACCATCATATTTGACACTTGTCAAAGACCCTGTCAACCAACATTCTGGGATGACACTCTTCTAGGACCTAGGACACTGTTGTAGGACAACTTTGGGCCATATTTGTGCTTGACACTGTTTGTGCAATAAGGACGCACTCTTTTGGCACACACTCTTGTCTTGTGGGACCACTCCTTTGCAGGACACTGTTTTGAGCGACACCTTCGGACACTCTCATCGGTCAGTCTTGTCGCACCATTTTTCGTGGGCGACACGTTGGCGTCAAACTCACGCAAATAGAAAAAACTAAGAGGGGTGAAGAAAGGGAAGAGATGCGATGAGTGTGGCACGTTCTTTTCAAGAAAGCACCTTTCTAATTGGAGGGGGTTCAGTTGTTGGTGTACCCCACTGTGGGATGGTTAATCAGGTTTGACACTACAGTCACTACAGTTTGCGGCACGTAAATGTATGTACATTTATATATATGTATGTAATTACAATGTACTTGAGTCATGAGCCGCCTCAATTGTTTCTGAATTGATCAAACCATTGCAAAACCAATAGGGGCCAACCCTATACCGATACCCTTTCAATCAAAGGAGCTTATATACTGCCTGCATTCCGAAACACTGGAGGCGGTAGGGGGCAACCTAAAATACCTTTGGCAGTGGGTGCACCAAGAAGTCTTGTCCGCCACTCATATACTATACTGTACATATACGTTAATATGATTATTAATATGTCATTCTGATTCTAAGTCTACTGCGATGCAGGTGGGGTCTTGTGTGCAGACCTCGGTGACGGGGCCATGGGTTCGGCGCGCCCCGCACGACCTCGGCGTGGTGAGGAGATGTCTGAGTGGTTCTGTCCGCGCCCCAGCGTCCGCCAGCGACTCGTGTCGTTGGAAACGGTGCCCCACGACTGCCCACCACCTGCGGGAGAGGTTTCCAGTGGCTTGGACGGTGCCGTTGAGGGTTGATGATCCGCCTCCCGCGTAACATCGCAGCGTCAGCGGGAGACACAAAAGCAATGGAGGCCCTTCGGTTGCAACGCCATGCGCAGATTGTTTTTAGCTTAGGGACATGGGCCCGTGTCACCAGACGTCAGACCATTCAGACAGTCAGCACTTGTCAGCTACTTCCGTTATAGTGGCCCAAATACACAAGGGATGGACATAATATAGCACAGACGAGCCTCAACAAGTCTAGAGATCACTATATTGAACCAGATGCCCCATTTAAGCCAAAACCCCACAGGTCATTTTGTGAAGTTCCGCGGAAAGAGTTTGTAAAATCAGTGAGAACACTTTTGATATCGAACCCCTGTTCAAGACTATAAGACTCTTAGGCTCAAATCAAAATCCCAAGTGGTGGTTTTAAGATGTTTTACAATGGGTTGGCCAAAAACATCAAAACGCAGTCTTTGCGACGTGAGTTTGAGCCAAAAGTGCTGAGGGGGATGAATCCTCAAGAACATATTTGTTTCCTTTGGTCTACAGATTGACAGTGGGTCAAGTTAATTCTTTGCTGGTTTGGGGAAATGTGAGATGCTCAAGAAAATGTCCAGAAGAATCGCATGACGGTTGATAGGCTCTACATATATTGAGTCAGCATATTGATCTCCGTTCTATTCCCGCCTCCCTTCGATGAAGCTGCCCCAAAATCACATCCACAACTCCCGCAAAGAGGCAAAGTGAGAACTCGACGATCCACCGCAGGTGGGACCGCTGTCCAGCCTGAGCCCAAAGCACTGGACGTGAGGGCCAACGCAAAGAAGCTTGGAAGCACTTGCGAGGAGAGAGACCGGGCATGAAGACGGAGTGACCGGGCATGGAGACGGATGTTCACTCCTTCGTCGTGGGTCGTGGACGGATTTGCCTTTGTCGTTGTTCGGGGCATGACGTGGGTCGTGGCTTGTTTCAAGTTTCTGGCTGCGAACATTGGAATGGTCTTCTAGGCTGGCGACGTGACTAGCAGGCACCATCAGTTTCAGGCTGATGGACAAACTATATATGATTGTTTATATAGATTATTAGATTTGGCTTTTCAATTGGCTTTGCCATTCGCACCCAACCGGATCCGCGTCGTGCAATTGCGCTGCGCTTCTTGCGCAAGAAGCGCAGCAAGTAAGTCGCCATGCATGTGGAGCCGGACAGGGAAGGCAACGCACCGCTACCAAGCGTCGTTGGGTGGAAGAGTTCATGTTGGCTGGTACTCTCTTAAGACAATGACAGATCTTTGTTGGAGTCTAATGTATCAACATCCAATCAACGCTTAGAAATTCTCAGGCTATGTCATTGGCACCCGGGACTGGATGGATGGTTTGCATAACTTCCATATTTCATCATACTCCAACATTCCACGAGCTTGCACCAGACTGAGGCCATTTAAGGAGGGCGTTGCCAAGCCGTTGCTCGGACAGCACAATATCAATTCCTTCATGTTCTCTAGAAGCATGCCCCATAGAACCGGAACCTGCTCACACCCAGTCAGTCGGACCGGTGACGCAGCGGGTTCCCTGTGGAGTCTGTAGAGCGGCACGGCCCACATAGGCTGTTCTTCATTCTCCTCGATCCTCCAACTCTCCATCTTGGATCCTCCAACAGCTGTTGCGGTGATTCGTTCGTGACCCTTTACTCGCCACCGGTGAGTGACCCTGCGCCGCCAGCCTGGCCGTCCGAAGGCGAATCTGGGGTACAGGGACCGCGTAGTCGACGGACAAGAACGTACGTACTTTCTGTGCTTCAGAACCTGTTCGACTTGTGGAACACAAGATTGCTTAACATGCCCGTTGATGCCATGGCGGAAGGGGGGAAATGAAGCATGTAAACAAAACAATCATATCATATAAAACTACATATATACTATGTAGAAGGGTACGTGCCAGTTCCCCAACACAGACTGAAACAATCACAACACGTGGAGTAAATCTGTCAAACTCGTATCATTCAAGAAATCATCCATACTTGCCGCAGTTTCTTGAATAAAATTAACATTATGCTTCAAAGGACAAGACTTGCCGAGGTTTGTCATGGTCCCAAGCTGATCACTATATTGAATTACCGAACGAATGGTTGGTTGAGTTTAGGTTCGACAAGATGACTGGGCAGACTGAGACCTATCAGGCACCGAGCAGATGTGGTTGGAGTGTGTGGGCAACAGCGCCGATCGGTTGTGGTTTGGCCCGTTTGGCTATGTTTGGCCCAGAAGCCCAGGGAATTGATCGTGTGCCAAGGTGGACCTCAACCGTAGGGTGATAAAAACAAGTATCACTATTTTAGAGAAAGACCTTTACTACATTGATCATCATCCACTGTTACTGGTATAATGGGATATATAGTGTTTTCCCCACCTGTCAGGTGCATTGTTGGATTTTATCACAGCTGTCAACGCCGCCGTCCTCCTCATCCTCCTCCCCCTCCTCCTCCTCCTCGTCCTCGTCCTCGTCGTCGTCCTCCTGCTTCGCTGCGAGCTCCAGAGTGCGGTGGGCATGGGCACCACCAAACCTGAGCCACGAATGCTAGATGCCAGTGGACACCACCGGACCTGAATCACGAGCTCCAGATCTCAGTGGGCACCACAGCCTGAGCCGCGAGCTCAAGATCGCAGTGGGCAATACAGTGCAGGACCTGAACCAGATAGAATTCCAGAAAGAACGCCGGAAGTGATCCCAAACAGATTTCCAGAATGCCAGAATAGATTCCAATTAGAATGCCAGGACATATGCCAGAGCAGATAGAATGCCAGAACATTTGCCGGATAGAATGCCAGAACACTTTCCAGAAAAAAACATAGAGATAAAATATGCCAATCAGAAAGCCAGATAAAATAGAATGCCAGTACATATGCAAGATAGACGCTTTCTTGGTGATGTTGAAGCAGTATAGCTGTCGGCCAGTTATCAGCAGAATATATGATGCGACGGTGGGGATTGCTCGAAACAAAGCTTCTTTGTTGCTGTGCTTTTGGCCAACCAGGCGCCTCTTCTTTGTCCGGGCGTAGCTGCCAAAAAAAAGATAAAAACACATCAAAAGTGGCGGCAACCTGAAGTAGGGCAAGGTGGTGATCATCATACGGACATCGAGATTCTAGGGTGAACGCAACCACAGGTTGATAAAGGTTGCGAGCATTTTTTGTGCTGAGCTATGTGCAAGCACATCAGTCAAGAAGGGTGCAACCTATTGGCGTGTCCACCAAATCTAGTTTCTCCGTACCACCCCTGAATTCTGGAATCATTGCTCGCCTGACTTGGAAACATTTCCCGTGTCAAATGCAAACTGCCCAATGGTAGGGCCTTCCATGCAAGTTCGGTGGTGCCCAAAAGCGGCAGGATTACTTATACAAAAACACTTTCATGAATGTTCTGAAACAGTGGAGCCTACACTGGCGTAGAAAAACAAGCGCTGCCGGTACTGTAAGCCGCCGGACTTCCAAGCGGCAGAAACCAAGTCTTGTATGTTTCCTGTTAGTGGGTACTGGGATAGGCTAGGGCGTCCTTATGAAGCTACTATTGAATGTCTATCATTTGCATAAAGAATACATTGAACTCATTGAGCACATAATTAATGACTATCAAACTAGGGTTTTGGCAGGTGCTTCTGTCACGGGGAACACGTCCTTATCACCGGCCACCTGCAAGAGTTCACGCGGTTCCCATCATGGAGAACCCAAAAGGTGAGGTTTTGTATAGCACATGATCTTCCAGGCACCCGTTTACCACGGTGTTTCTTAAATAAGTAGTGTTTAACACTTGTTTATTTTTGTGCACAGTGGTCAGAAGCCTGCTGTGAAACAACATTCACGAAACCGTTCTTCAACCACGGCTGGCACAAAGGCCCAAATGTGTGTGTGTGTGTTTTTCTTCTGTTTGTGAAGATGCCCACAGGCAGAAGGCAGACAAGCAAGGTCCCTCAAAAACACTCATGTTTGTAGAGGAGTATCTTCCAGCATCCGCGTCAGCACTTCACTAGCTTGTGGAAAACAAATAGAGCTGCGAACACGGTTGATCCAAAGAAAACATATGTTCACTGAATTGGAGAACAGGTCCATGACTGCGCGCTTGCAGGAATCAAAGGGGTTAATCGTCGTGACAAATGGTACCGGCAATTTGCTCGCCATCCAGAAGGACCGGTACCTTGCGATGTTGACCCGTGATAGTCTTCACATCGACACCAGACGGGCGGGAAGCAGGGAGGTGCTTGGCTGTCCTGTGGGGACCCGTTGGAGGAGCGTGAATGGACAAACCTATCATTAGATCATATCATCTGTTTGACACTGACACAATGCAATGTTTTTTTGCCGTACGCTTCAGGGTGTGCATCTACCGTGCGAAAACCCTTAACATCCGCCATCCGCAACAGATATTTGTGAACTATTGGAAGTTGACGATGTGGCAAATGCCTCTATTGGTAACCCAACGAAGTAGCATTCAACCTCTGATCAAGTTCTGGAAGTTGGGAACATTGGGAAACTATGTTCTTGAACAGTTGTTTTGGATGACACATGCCTCCAATGATGACCCAGTGGGGGAGCATGCAACCTCAGGCAGCATAGCCTTTTTTCACTGGGCACCCTGAGGTATAAGCCATAGGAAAGTGGTAGGCTTGCCGGCTATGGCTATACCCAGATATTTCTCGGCATGTTCCGCATTCATGATAGTTTTTGGGATGACACCAGTTGGAGAGTTGGACTGGTGTGAGACTTCTCGCTGCGAACGAATATGAGGCGTATGAGAAAAACAAATGAACCAGTCTAAACCATCATAAACCATCCGGATTTCGTTCCCAACTCTTCGCTTGAGGAGCTCATTAAGTTCATGTTTTGGGTTCCTTTCTTGTGTCATGTTTTGTTGAATGTGTGCTGGCTGAGAGTTGGCCCAATTGTTTCCCTTTCTGTTTGTGAAGACGCCCGCAAGCAGAAGGCAGGCTAGCAAGGACCCTCAAAATTCCTAATGTTTCGATTGAGTATCTTCCAGTGTCCGCGTCCACACTAGCTTGTGGAAGCTAGAACTGCGAACATTGCTGACCCAAAGACGACAAAGGTTCACTCAATTGGAGATCCATTGCTTGGAGCTGGACTCCAGACTTCCAAGCGGCAGAAAACAAGTCCTGTATGTTTCCGGTTTGTGGATACTGGGAGAGGCCAGGGTGTCCTTTCCGTTGCTACGAAGCTACTATTAAGCGTTTATCACATGCCGACTCGATAATAAGTACACAATTAATGACTATCAAACTTGGTTCTGGCGGGTACTTTTGTCAGGCAGAACAGGTCCTTAATACCGGCCACCTGCAAGAAACAACATTCACTATAGGCCACAGTGGTCCAGCCGCTTTTCCACCGCGGCGGTCCAGCGACCAGGATTTCTTGCAGTGGTCCAGTGACCAAGGTGCGGCGAGGGGATGCAAAACGGGGGATTTCTTTGGAAGAAAAGGCTGCCTTACTTATGGGGATTTGTGGAGTGAAGACAGATCTGTAGAGTGACGACGTGTCCGACTAAAGACGGATCTAGGGAGCGAAGACTGCAGTCGAATCGAAGGTGTTCCGGAGTATGAGCTTGAAAAAAATAGCCAACGCACACACACCAGCGGCCACCACATTTCGATAATAAATGCGCCACGTCAACTTGGGATTCACTTCGAAGTGTTGTCCTCCTTATATTCGGGTCGGGAGAGGTATATGTCAAAAAAATAAGCATCAAGCAAAAAAATATAAGCATCAGGCATCAAGAAAAAAACAGTCCTCTGGCTCCTCTGGTCCTTTGGTCCGTTTGGTCCCCTGATCCTCTAGTCCCCTGGTCCTCTGCTCCTTTGGTCCCTGGTCCTTTGGTCGCCTGGTGCCTTGGTCCCCTGGTCCCCTGGCGCCTTCATGCCCTGGTCCTCTGGTCCGAAGAAGCCCAACTGCAAATACTGTACGCCCTAGTAATTCCTCTGTTTGTCTTTCCTCGCTGCTTCTCTCCTTTGTTTTTTCTTTTTTGTCCCTCTCTCCCTCGGTCTCGCTGTCTTGCTACATCGCTTTATGCTTCTGCTGCCGCTGCTGCTTTTGAAACAGGCTGTCTATACTTTGTTCGCATTGCGGGGGGAGGCGCTGCGCCCTCCCCCGAACCTCCTCCCGCTTTCAATCCACCAAGAAAGCTCCAAGCCAAGCCCAAAGAAACTCTAAAGAACCACTACTACTACTACTACTACTATTTTTACTTTGATTCTTATTTTTTTATGTTTGATTTCCTTAATGTTCTTAATTTTCTTTTTTTGATATATATATATTGTTATGTTTTGGATCATTCACCTTCATATTCTCCCCTCGATCCAAGAATGGCCCAACTCATGGAGGTGCTGAAGCGTGCCAAGCGAGCCTCGTTGACGTGGAGAGGAGCTGCCGGTGGTGATCATTCCAAAACACCCCCACCGATGGCCCACTCAATTGTGCGAACCATTCGATCGGCGTGAGGACTGCCCCAGCGCCGGTTCGTCCTGGTCTGGTGAGTGCTGAGAACTACTTCGGATTGGACGTCAAGGAGCCGGGTAAACAGACATGCGTTGGTGGGGTTGCAACCGCGAGCGGGCCAAAAAAAGGGCTGGGCAGCGGCACGGCCGTAATTCATTATGGAGTTTCTGAATTGGTGAGGTATATGGTGATATTGACAGGCTTCGCGCACCAGCGATGCCCGCGGGCACAGGTGACAAACCATTTTAACGCAGACACTGCTCGGTCAGCGCGGGCGCTCGCTTCCTCACCGGAAATTGCATAAACGATAAAAAAAACAGATATTTACGGGGTGTTTTGCACTTTTGCGGCAGCAAGCGCTGCAAGTACCGATGGTTATCGTGCTCTAAAACGTTGCATTTACGGTGTAATTTTTGTGTTGTTTTTAAATGTATTTACAGTGTTTTGTGCGCGCGCTCCTTCAATCCCGTCATGGCAGCATTGCAGCACATTGTTTATTGAAGCGAAAAAAACAAAACACTATATTTTACAGTGTTTTGCGCCTTGCCGCGTGCCGAAAAAGAAGAACCAAAGCCGTCCCCCAAATCTGCCCCCTTCCAGATCCATGATCTTTTGTCGATCTTCCACTTATTTAGAGTGACTTTTTCAATCACCTTTTGGTAGAAAAAACTTCTCCCCCACGCAACTCAAGCATTTTGATGCATTTCTCCGTTTGCCGATTTTTGAGTCGCTCAAGATCCAAAAACGGTTGGAAATGCAGGCGAGAGCACCGTTTATAAAGGCCAGAGGCAAAATCATTGCAAAACACAGGGTCGGCGGCAGGGACGCACCTGGCGTAGCAAGCCAGCCTTAGATATACAACTGCACAGCACGACATCGCCGAAGGGTGACGCCCGCGGCCACCGATCCCACAGAGGGGTCGGGGAGCTAGGAGCGCCGTGGAATCCAAGGCATGCTGTGTCATGGGTAGAAGTGGGGAGTGAACAAAAGACAAGGAACATTCTCATGGCTCTGGCCAGGATGACGAACAAGAAGCAGTTGGAGGTTGGGTGAGCATGTCCACATGCTTCAATAGGTTCTCAGTGAATTAACCATCTGCCCAGGAACCTTTAGAGACCTATGAGCCACCGGCCAAGGATGGGTATCTTTGGGGGGAGCTACCGTGCGCGCGTGTCGCCACAACGCGAAGATGAGGGGCACAGTGCACGCACGTGCGCGTGCGGTACCTTGCGGTGTGCCTGTTTTCATCCGGGCCGCCTCAATCCAAAGGGCGCCAAACGGGTTCTGGACGCGCAGGGGGGGGTCGAACCCGGGACCACAGCCGGGCAACGCTTTTGTCGAGAAAGAATCCTGACGGTTCCAGAAGGGAAAAATTTAGACAAGTGTCATTGAATTGAAGCGGCAGTTTTTAAGCACGTGTTTGGCAATGTGACGGCTGAGTAACATCGCCCACCGCACACCGAAGTCCCTCAACAGGAACACGCCGGCCCTGCTTCGCTCACGCTCACGTTCATCGCCTAGACCGGGGTCGGCGGATTTTAGGTCCATCGATCTTCACCAACTGTGTTTTATGGTGAGGGTTCCTTTCTGCCCACACTGTTGTGTATCATTGGATCTTGCAGAGACTAACTGATGACTTCACAGTACTGTTTTGGGTGTGTGTCCGCTATTTGGCCAACACACACATGAGATCACTTCGTGAAACTATGTTTTTGGAACACTTGCATTTGGGCGGCAGATTCCTTTATTGGTACTCGTCACCCAAGGAGGTGGCAACTCAACCTCCGGTCAAGTTCCTGTAGGATCCTGTAGGTACTTTTCAGGTAGCATCTTGAGGTATGAACCATATAGAAAAGAGGTAGGGCTGCCAGCTATATCCAGTTTTTTCTCGGCATGGTCCACACTCATGACAATTATACGGTTAACGGTTACACGGATGACACCAGGGACAGTAGCACATGTCGCAGTGTGAAATCTTGGGCAGGTCAACTTCTCGCAGTCAATTCCGATGCGAATAGGAGGTGTATTTGCATGTCTTAAGATATGTGAACCATTCTAAACCATCATGAACCATCCCAATTTTGTTCCCAACGTTTGAGGGGCTCATCAAATTTATGTTTGTTGTTCCTTTCTTATGTACTGTTTTGTTGGAGGCGCTGGCTGAGTTTGTTTGTCAAGATGCCCGCAAGCAGAAGGCTGACAAGCAAGACCCCTCAAAAACAAGATGTTTGTAGAAGGATGTAGAAGGGTATCTTCCAGGGTCCGTGTCCACACTTGCTCGTGGAACTAGAACTGGGAACATTGCCGATCCAAAGGCAACAAATGCTCACCGATTTGGAGAACAGGTCCATGACTGCGTGCTTGCATGGCTCGCCTTGTCAGCAGGAGAAACTTCAAGATAAAGTGCAGGAACACATGCAGAAGGACTGGTACCTTGCGATGTTGACCCGTGATAGTCTTCACATTTGCACCAGGCCCGTTGGCGCAGCCGCCTGCAATTGTACAAATCTATCATTGGATGATATCAGTTTTATTTGTTGACACAATGCAATTGTTTTTTGCAGCTTCAGGGTGTGCAACCACCGTGCCATCCCTTTATTTTGCCAAAAACCTTAACATCCGTAAGAGAGATATTCTGATTTATTGAAAACTGGGAAACGATGTGGCAAATGCCTCTATTGGTAACCCAACCGGGTAGCATTCAACCTTTGGTCAAGTTCCTGTAGGTACTTTTCAAGTAGCATGTGTCCTGTAGGTACTTTTCAAGTAGCATCTTGAGGTATGAGCCATATATCTATGTCTATTATATATATTATATATAGGAAAGTAATAGGCTTGCCGGCTATTCTCGGCATGTCCGCATTCGTGACAGTTTTTGGCATGACACCAGGGACAGTGGCACATGTCGCAGAATTTGACTGGTGTGTGAATTCTTGGGCAGGTCGACTTCGCGACCTCATTCTTTTTGCGAATGTGAGGCGTATGACAATGAGAAAAAACATATGAACCATTCTAAACCATCATGAACCATCCCAGTGTTGTTCACAACTCTTCGTTTGAGGAACTCATGAAATTTATTTTGTTGGGCTCCTTTCTTATGTCCTGTTTTGTTGAAGGTGCGTCCCAATTTGTCCTTTGTTTGTTTGTCAAGATGCCCGCAAGCAGAAAGCAGACAAGCAAGGACCCTAGAAAAACCTAATGTTTCGAGAGGAGTATCTTCCAGCGTCCGTGTCCACACTAGCTTGTGGAAACTAGAACTGGGAACCTTGCTGACCCAAAGCCAACAAATATTCACCAAATTGGAGAACATGTCCTTTACTTGGAGCTGCAGACTTCCAAGCGGCAGAAACCAAGTCTTGTATGTTTCCTGTTGTGGATACTGGGATGGGCATGAAGCCCGTTAAGCGTCTATCACATGCCAACCAGACAATGAGTACATCAAACTAGGTTTCTGGCAGGTGCTTCTGTCGGGGGGAACAGGTCCTTGATACCAGCCACCTGCAAGTTTTCACGCGGTTCCCATCATGGAGAGCCTAAAAGATGAGGTTTTGTAGAGAACATGATCTTCCAGGCACCCGTTTTCGACTTTTTTCAATGGTCTATTTTTGTGCGCAGTGGTCAGAGGCCTGCTGTGAAACAACATTCACTAGGCCCAGGGTGGAAGCCGTTTTTCAACCGCGGCGGTCCAGCGACCAGGATTTCTTGCAGTGGTCCAGCGACCAAGGTGCGGACAGCGGCCGCCACCTTTGGATAATGCAGAGGTTGAGTCAGGTTAGTTTAGTTCCTCAGTCTGATCTCAAGGGCCAAGACAACCCGTTCACCGATGACAGCCGCGTCGCCTTCCCCAGGCCGTGAAAGCACTCGGAGCCCGGATTCTACACAATATCGTTCGTCGACAGCTTCCCCAAACTCAGGCGACGGAGTCGGGATGATGCGACATGGTCCTTTGGTGCAACTGCATGAATTGCGACTCGAGGTCCATTTTAGTTGGTAGGCGTTGATGAATAAAGCTGGTGTGGAAAAGTGTAGATGACATCATCGTAATAATAGATGGGCAAGTAGCAGCATGGCAATGTCAGTGCAGACCTGACAGAACCTCTCAATGCTATTCTGTGGCCGGCTTTGTTCCAGGAAAATGTGCCACGTCAACTTGAGATTCACTTCGAAGTGTTGTCCCCCTTACTGTATATTCTCCCCTCGATCCAAGATTGGCCCAACTCATGGAGGTCCTGAAACATGCCAAGCGAGCCTCGTTGACGTGGAGAGGACGATTTCTCCAGCACGGGAGCTGCTGGTGGTGATCGGTGGTGTCCAATTCCCAAACACTCGAAATTGCCAGCTTGAATTGCTTTGCAACAGCCAGGGGTGAGAGGGGTATAGAGGGGGCGGCATGGAGAGTTCAATCCCATCAGTCCTGTGATGGCCCGAACCCTTCAGTCCTCGGCGTGAGGACCGTTTTAGCGCCGAGTCGTTCTGGTCTGAGTGTGGAGAGCTACTTCGGTTTGGACGTCAAGGAGCTGGGTAACCAGAGCGCAGGGGTGCGGTTGCAACCGCATCTGCTGGCCAAAAGGGGCAAGGAACGACCGTCATGTATGGAGCTTCTGAATTGTTGAGGTATTTGATGGTATTGACGGTATTGACAGGCTTCGCACGTTCATCGGCCTAGACTGGGGACTGGGGTCGGCGGATTTTAGGTCCATCGATCGATTGTTCAAAAGCTTTTTGGTGGGAAGTTTTGGTAGCACGGCGCCACAAACAAATCGATCATGTTCCAGAGGGTTGTGGTTTATGGTGAGAGCTCCTTTCTGTCCACTCTGTTGTGTATCGCCGGATTTTGCTGAAGACGTTTTCAACAGTACACTTTTGGGTGTGTCCCCTATTTTGCCAACACACATGAGATCACGTCGTGAAAGTATGCATTGAAACACTTGCTTTTGAGTGGCAAATGCCTCCCTTCATAATCCAATTGGGTAGCATTCAACCTCCGGTCAAGTTCCCGTAGGATCCTGTAGGTACTTTTCAGGTAGCATCTTGAGGTATGAACCATATATATAGGAAAGTGGTTGGCTTGCCAGCTATTTCTCGGCATGGTCCACATTCATGACAGTTTTTGGGGCGACACCAGGGACAGAGGCACATGTCGCAGACTTCGGAGGGTCGACTTCTCGCAGTCCTCGTTGCAAATAGGAGGTGTATGTGTATGAGAACATGAACCATTCATGATGAACCATCCCGATGTTCCCAACTCTTCGTTTGAGGATCTCATGAAGTTTATACGTTGGGTCCCTTCTTATGTCCTGTTTTTTTTGAATGTGCTGGCTGAGAGTTGATCCAAGTGTTTCCCTTTCTGTTTGTGAAGATGCCCGCAAGCAGAAGGCAAGCAAGGACCCTGAAAAACACTTTACTAATGTGTGTTTTTGAGTATTTTCCAGTATCCGTGTCCACACTGAAAAACACTAATGTCTTTTTTGAAGTATTTTCCAGTATCCGTGTTGTTGAAGCAATAACTGCGAACATTGCTGGCCCAAGGGCGACACATGTTCACTTAATTGGAGAACAGGTCCATGACTAGTTGGGGAACGGAACTGGCGCATGGCTCGCCTTGTGAGCAGGAGACACTCCAAGATAAACTGCAGGACTTCTTGCAGAAGGACTGGTACCTTACGATGTTGACCAGTGATAGTCTTCACATTGGCACCAGAAGGCTGTGGGGACCCGTTGGCGCAGCCGCTTGCCATGTTTACGTGAATGGACAAACGCACCGAACACATATGACACACCGTTCCGGCCGCACACATTGATGGCATCCACATGTTGCAGCTATGCTATCCGGTAGCCACGAAAATGTTGTTTTACTGTAGTCAAACTGCTTTTTCAGCCCTGCTTCAGGCTTGAGGCTTGTTGCGTGGGCCATGTAGAGGGTACCTTCTAACTTTCTGAACACGAGTGTGAAGAACAAATTTAGACGACGGATGGCCCGAGGGCGTTGTAGAGTACTTCTGGGGTGAGGTATGCTTGCATCACGATGAAACAGTAAAGTGAAGAGAGTAGTGGGAGAGAAAGTGAAAGAGAGGGTGAGCAAGGAGGAAGAAAGCTGAAAGGAAGAACACCGTGAGAAGAGAGATAGCATCGGATCGTTCAGGGAAACCTGGCTTAGGTGCAGTTGAGGTATTAGAGTTGATGCTTTTTTCAGGTGTACGTCCAGGTGTAGAACATATGGTTTGGATGCAGGTCCTGCTCCGAAATGTTTACAGGTTAAGGTGCAGCTTTGTGGCAACGGTAGCTCTAAACCTAGCGCCTTGAAACGGGTTGCAAAAAACAGTTTCGATGTTCTTCTTTGCTGACGTATGCTGACGTGCCTACGAGGGTGCTTGCTGATTTTGCGGCCCGGTTGCCTTTGCTTTTGCTTTGCCACTACAAGTGTCGAACATACACTTTAGAAGCACATACGGAGGACAACATGCCTCAAAATTCAATTACCCTGGTGGGCACTGTTTGCATTGTGGCCTTCATTTGAGTTTGCTGTTTGGGAGCCAGTGCTAGTTAGGACGTAGAACAATACAAATAACGTATTTCAGTTTTTCTAGAATTTTTTGAATTCTATTTTTGTTGTTTTTTTAGCCTGTACTTGGAAGCAGGGGGTTCAAATGTATTTCTGCATTTTTGTTATTCGACTGGCGCCTCGTGCAGCACGCATCATGCATATGTTACATGGGGTTGCACCAGGGCTCGCCATGATTGCAAGTAACACCACCCATCTTCATGATATTACCCCAACACGCTTGAACACTAACCAATCAGTTGCTTTGGGTTTTGCAGTTTTCTTTTGTTGTGAGTGAGGCCCCATTGGCCCCTTATTGGTTCAAAACGTGGCACCAGTCCTTCTTAAAATAATGTTGAATTCCTATGTGTATCCTTGCAACATTTGATTCACTGGCGAGCTGGCCGTTGAGATCAGTGGGTTGGAGTATATGTGTGATTGATGTGGGAAAACGTTTTGTGTTTTTGGTGTTTTCGTCGTTGTTCGTTGAGTTGCGCATGGCCCAGGAGACTGAACTGGTTCCGGAAAAGGCCAAAGTTCAGAAGGACCCAAACCCAGTGTTTGCAAAGACTGAGTTGGCCTGGCATCCACCAGGCATTCTTCCTTCGCCCTTCTTGCCCAGGAGGTGGCACCCGTCCCCAAGCCGCGTGGTGCTGCACGCATGAAGATGTGCATCACTCCACAGCACTTCAGTTCGCTGGGCACGACCTTCCGTGACGTCCAGGCGCTTACTTGCAAGCAGTAAGCCGAGGGGACACGATGGCAGGGATACTAAGTAGGATCTCCAAAGTTTCGCACAAACACTCATCAAATAGCTGCAAAATCCAATGCATCCAACTATTCCCTTGTTCATTAAAAAACATATCGGTGGAAATGTGGGGTCATGTGGGGTCCGTCTATCACCTCATGTCACCTCGGTCCTCTCCCCCGCTATTGGCACTTTCTCGGCGTTGCACAAAAATCCCCGGCAGGTGGATTTTGAGCCTCGTGGCTTTACCATCCGTGCCATCGACACAGGGGGCTATGCATGGACACTTGGAAGATGACGGGCTTCCTGTGAGGTTTGAAGAACAAGAGTGTCGAAAATCAATGGCTTGCCCCGGAAGTCTTGCCCCACTTTTGGAGCAGAATGTGATGCTTTCTGAATTTCTGAAAGGACCATTCCATCATTTTCTCCATTGAGTGTTTTGGAGCCCGCGGTTTTGGGGGACATGAAGGGCAGACACAGTGAGGATGGGACAAACGATGCATGTTTCTTCTCGCCAGTGGACTGACAGGTCTGAGAATCCACCGAGAACATGTAGAGCACTTAGTTTTGAGTTTTGGTCATTGAACTGCAACAAGGAAGGACGAGTGAGGGAGCGAAGATTCTGGAAGGGCCGTCGACGCGGTATGTGAAGGTTTGTGAAGGTCTGTGAAGCTGTTCCCCCGTCGGTAGAAGCTGTTTCCCAGTCATGTGTTGTCCAGGTCCTCGCCGTTTTACCGGAGTTTCGACACGTGCCGTGTCCTGCCACCGTCGTCTCCTCGTCGCATGGAGTCTGCACCCACGGATGATGGCACGGTTTGGCTCGGGGGGTGGGCCATGAGGACGGCATTCTCAAAGCCCTTGCCGGGAGACATTGACATGGAACGATGCAAGTTCAAGATCGACCCTTCTGGGAAGGAGGCAGGTGACTTTGGGCTTTATATGATGGCGGACACGAAGCCAAAGCTGACTCTCCCACTAGTTTGAGGACACAAAATTCAATAAATAAAGGTTAAACATCTCTGCATTTTTTTGTGGACCCTGTGTTTTTCGGATTGGACCCAAGCGGATGTTCAATGAAACCCATTTCCAACGGCTGGGCTTTATGGAGCACTTTTCAAGTGCTACTGCTGCGTAGATTCAAAGGAGCAATCTTGCTATTGAGCGTCGTGCAAAGACTCTGGAGCTGGTGCACTGTAGAACCTAATAGAATCTTCTAGTGCCCTAGGACTCATGAACGCCCAGCACCTGTGAGACCAAGAATGGTCAAGCTGTTGAAGCTGGCGATAGATGCTCCAGACCATGGGTTGAGGGTAAGCTTTCCAGGTGGGTGGGCTGGTTGTGCCATGTGTATTCGCCACGCACCTAGCACTGGTATAGACGCGTGGCGTCTTTTGCGCAGAAGGGCCAGTGTGATCGGTTTCCCTACTTATATGAGGACTTTTATCCTTTCAAGAGATATGGTTCAAAGTGCCCGGACTGGAAATGGAGCCCCATGGAAGATCTGGTGTTCCTGGACGCAGGCCAAGTGCAGGAAGTGCAGACAGCATATGTTCAGACGACAACCACCCCTGCAGGGTTTCACAAAGGATTCGGGTGTGCCACTCTAATTGACGTTACGGCGATTGGAACAGGGACACCCCGAAGGAAGCTCGCAACTCTCTATCCCTAAAAGATATTCTTTCCTCAGAAGATCAATGGAAGATCAGCTCATGGCCTTGCCAGATGGACCACCCACCAGTCAAGACACAAGGGACATTGAGGGACCAAACAAGCATCTCACAAAGTCAGTGTGGTGCCACAAAAGCGGGTAGGTGGCCATCAACTTGTACAAGGCCAACGCTGATGAGAGTTGGTGGAGCCTCAACCGGATCGAGTTGGAGCGGCCATATACCCATAAGGCAGAGAAGGCAGGGGATTGTGTCGACCACAGGACGGCAAAGCAATCGATGAAAGACATTGCATCTAAGGACATTGCATCTATATACCGATATACCATCATCTAGCTCTTATGCTCGGAAGACCCTAAAGGCATTTGAAGGCCCTAAAGGCGCAAATAGTGAGGGGCTCATTGCTCCAGATTGACTCTTCTACTTCTAGCTCTCATCATGGTAGATCCTACTAGCGACGGTGTTTTGACCCGATGCTTCGCGCCACGGCTTCGGCTTCAGCTGCTGGTGTTCTTCCAGGCCAAGAGCCTGAAGACCATGGCCGAAAACTTCATTTGATCGGACATGTGGTGCCGAGTTGACAGCGGCAGCATGAGGCGCATGAGGCGCCAGCGAGGGGTTTCGATCCTTGCGCAAGTTCGAGATGAATGGGTTTGAGCCCATTGAATCGTTTGCTTATTCCTGGACGCAAGCACTTTGTTCGTTTCGCAGAAGGTGTTTGTTCCACGTGAGAGATGGAAATGCAGCCAGGATTGGTTATGGATATTGTTTTTCGCTCTTTGGAATATGTGCTCGTGAGTCCTTGGGGCACAGCCCACTTCCGTGGTCGGAATCCAAAACGAAGCTTTGCATGATGCATGCTGAAATACACTGAGTCCTCATACGTATGTCAAGTTAGATTTGCTTCAGAAAGAACATCATTTTTGGACGAAATTGCATTTGTGTTTGTGTTGCTTGTTTATTCCACAAAGTGAGCCGAACAGGGAGGCACATGCCTCTCGCGAAACGGCGCAACACTCCCGGTCCCTACAAAAAACGGTACAAAATAGCGCAAAAAACGGCGAGGAAAAGGACAACGGACATGTTAAGTGCACAAAGGGAGTGCTGATGTAAACCGACACTGTGTTTTTTAAATATAAATTACATTTGTTGGTCATTCTTGACGCCAAACTACCTAAGATGTATTTTCACAAAACATCACGAAACGACATTAATTCAGACACCCGGGTGGTGCAGGTACTGTAATTATATGGGTTAGACGGTTAGCCAAGCTATGGCACCAAAATATAGCATCATGCATCCTGGGAGTCTGATTGAACCAGGCAAGGCCTGGCTTGGAGAGCCCTCCCACTCTCCTCTTCAATGCTGCTTTCCTTGCGTCCTGAAGGACCCAGAACATCACAGTGGTTGTTCCATTCGTAGGTCATACTTTTGGGGCCCACCGCAACTACAACGTCCAAAGGAAGCAGGAAGGCCCAAGAGATATGGACCGCAGCGCAGCTGCGCAGCATGCCAAACCGCTTTGGACGCTGCTCTGGCAACTTTGGCGAAATCCGTTCAGAACTGCTCCGATCGCCAGTGGCCAGTGGACTTGGATCACCAGCGAGTCCAATGTTGGTATGCTAAGTCCGTCGTTACGTTGAAGTCAAACTCAAACACGTGGACATCCCGATGAGGGACGATCAAAAGCATGGATGGATAGTCTTGGTTGGATGAAGCTTTTCTTGGGTATGTGCGTGTCATTTTCATTCTCAAGCCCTTGTTAGAATTGTTAGAAGTTAGCAACGCTCCTCAAGTCCCATGTCCTTTTTTTGTGGGGGCAGGGGCGAATCGGGGCGAATCCAGTTCGTTTGATCATCCCTCAGGTGCGGCTGTCATGGCCTGGTGGCCTTCGGATCTCTTCTGACCTGCCACAAAAGCAGTTGAAATCACGATTGCCTCAACAGGACAGAATGATTTGAAAGGCAAACACCCATGGTCACAGCCTCCACGTTATATTTTGCCGAAAATGTGATGTTCCGTGCCGGAATTTGACCACTGTGTTTTGGGATGTTTATGCTCCCAGACAGAGTTTCAATGGGGCCCTCACGATCAACAGCTCTCAAGGGATAGGTTCGAACCTATCTCAACAAGCGAGCGAAGAGTTCGAAACACCCATCGACAAAAGACATGGTTCTGGGATGTTCTGGGCCACGAAACCGCAGCTTCGTGGTGTGTTCAGGTCCTCGATGTTGGTACTCTTCATCGCTTTGAAGTGCTTCTTGCATCAGCAAGTGGTCGTTTGAGGGATCGCGGATCGGAAGAGAAGGGGAGAGACAGATGAGAGAGAAGGAGATCAAAGGAGAGCAGGAAGGAGCTGAGGATGCTGAGGATGACCATGATAAGTGGAGAGTGCTGTTGGATGGGGATCCCGGGAATTCTCTCGGGTCCTGTTTATACTCCTTGGGTTGGAGCCAGTTTCAAGGCAGCTTTTGCCTTGACTGGAAGGTCTGCTGTTGGCGATTTCTCATCCTTCATACGGCTGTTGGTAGCCTTCGACGACCTCACGAACCCCACCAACCCATCAGCAGGACCCGCAGTGGCGCGATCGCACGGAGGGCCGCGGCATAGTCCCGGCGCAACGTCGCGGGGATTCTTTTGGGATCGTGCACGTGAGAGTTATTCAAAGGCCATAGCCTGTAATATGTACAGTAGTTTAGAGTGACCAAACTGCCACACACATACTATATAATACTATATATTTATCATAACCTATCGAATTGCTATAATATGTAATTATTTATATTGTACAAATATGTAGGCTCTTGATTAGTGTTTGATTAGTGTTCCCTCCACCTCCCCCCAGTTAATGATTGATTCTGAAAAACAATCAATAAAGATCTAGGAAATCAGCAGGAAATAAACATTATTTATTAGGAAATCAACAGGACTTAAATGAAATAAATCAATATTGAACAATATTATAGTATATGTATCTATATAGGCAGGGGCTTGGGAATATGCACGTGGGAGAACATATTGTAATTTAGAGTGACTATCCACCAGAAACATCTGAAAATAAGATCCCAAAGAGACTGGAAGGTCGGTTTCATATGGTCTTCGAACCGGTGAACATTTCCAGGCGAGGTCCGCTTTTTTCTTCCTGGGAAGCTAAATGGGGTTTGTATCGTAGAATCTGAACGTCCGACTGGTCCTATCCAAGAACCGATAGCATCAACTTGCACAAGAACCGATTGCCTCAATACAGCCTTGCCATTCTTTGTTTCGGACTTCTTCGGTTGTTGTTCCGTTACTGCCAGCCAAGGCGGTTTTGGACTCTCATTCTATTTGCGTCGGTCCCTGGCAGCCATCCCACCCATCAATTGACCGTTTTCACGATCTTTCCAAGGCTTGTTGTGGTGATGCCCCCCCAAAAGTATCCAAGGCTTGCTTAGAATACGTTCTTGTGCAAGCCGGTCGTGACTTTGCATGATCCACTTTGAAGTGCGGTCGGAAGCACAGAGAGGCATCGTTCTACTCGGTTGGGTCATTTGGGATGCCATTGTAAATTGACTTGGTACATGTTTTCTTGTGTTTGTAATTCAAAGGTTTTGAGAGAGGTACTGTTTCCAAGTTTTTGTTAAACCTATAGTAGCAATTAATATCAATTAATATCAATCAATTAGTGCAACCGCCAAGAATATGAATGAATGCAAGTCACAGTTAATTGCAACTGTAAGTTCCGAGAACCTGATGATCAAGCCACACTTGTTGCACGTTCTTCCGCTCAAGACCCGCAGCGCGGCCCTAATTCGATGCATGGCCCGAATGCCACGACGGGTGGAAGTGGATGAATGCGCCAATGACCCTGAGCGTGATTGGATTGAATTTGTCGGTGCTCACTTTGAATTGACAGGGTCTTGCGCCGTACTTTGGCACAACCAGAATCACGCTTCAGTTGCCTTGAGGTAGGGGTTTGTTATGATTTGTTCAATTCCTTTTGGATATTTTTTTCACTAGTCACAATCGCTGGCACAGATTTCTCATCCAGGTGCCCATATTCGTATACAGGAGCACGGCTTTGAACTATAGGGCAAGAACAATTAGTTTGTGGGGTAAGCTTTTCCCCTCGCTTGTGTACTCAAAAAGTGGACGGCTATATTATATAATAATTTATTAGATTATATGCATATATATATAAGAGAGAGAGAGATCCGCCCCAAGGCCTTGTCTCCAAGAGGATTGTGCAATCGCACAACATGACTATCGTCGCACAGGTCCACAGTTCTCCTGACTTTGACTGCCTTTCCGCACTTTCCTTGGCCTTAGGGCCTAGCTCGCAGTCCTCCATCTTCTCCAAAAAAAGAAGACACCTTCTTCTGGGCAGCTGAGCTCCACCGCCATACGTGGGTCCTCACCCCGCGTGCCCACCATTGATGTGATCCGGTGTCATTGCAGAGATCCGGAGCGTCGGGTGAAGTTCTCAAGGCCGTCCTCAGGTGCGACATGGCGGTCCGCCTCCTCGGATCGGATCCTTGGCCGGTGGCGGGGGACCCGGTCCGGGCGGGTTTCATGTCGAGGTGAGAGGTTGTTGTTGTTTTCCAGTTAGGTGGTGTTGGCTCTCGCCAAGTGTGACAAAACATGCATGTCGCGGAGACATATGATTGTCAATCCTGAACAAAATCCTGGTTTTTCAGCACTCCAGAACGAGCATGGCCTTTGAACACAGATCTCTACAACGGGTCGTGTGCCTCTGTACAAACGGAGGCGTACCGAGTTATCAAGATTTGCCTGATGGTTTTTGAGGTTCAATTTGTTTGTTTTGGCGCCACCCTAGTCATGCATTCGGCCATTCGAGCCAGCTGAGGAAAGACACAAGAAGTGGAGCCAGGAAAACACGCCCGACTGGCCGACTGGCCGGCTCCGAGGGTGCAGGAGCCCAAGCGCCATTGTTTGTGCGTGTGTGTTTTTGGATGTTTTTGGTGTGTGTGTGGAGTGTTTCTTGAGAGATCAGGTTTGCTGAGGAACAGCAAGTCTATGGTTTCGCACTTTACCCAACAATGGAGTTGAGGGCTGCAAGAATGATTACCCATGGAACTCATGATCCCTGAAGCCTTCTCTTCGCCTGGTGAGCTGAGCCGTTGGGCCTTCCCTTCGTCCCTTCGTGCTTCACACTGGTTGACGTTGAGTCTTTCAATGGGGCGACAGGTTCCCAATGTGGAATCTTAATTGGTTAGCCGGTTAGCCCATGTTGGCCTTCGTTCGAACACATAACTGGTTGGCCAGAGCAGAACAAAACATCATAATTCCGGAAGGTTCGGGTTCATGTCGCAGCCCTCGCATGTTCTGCAACGACTCCGGCCGACTCGAGTCCTTCGCCGCGTCGAGTTCTGCCTTTGGTCGAGTCGTGGAACATGTGTCCCACTTCTCTGCCGGGTGAGGCTTTGAGGTGTGGAGAATGGAAGTGGTGAATTGATGGGATTTACACAGAAACAACACATGTGAGATATAATTTGTATAGCATCATAATACATCATTTAACATAACATATATGTATTTATACATAACGGGCACTCAAATTTGTTCTTTTAAATCAACATTTGTTAAGACAACTGCACTGCGAGGAGGGCACCTTGTTAAGAGTTGTCAAGACAACTACACTGCGAGGAGGGCACTTTGTTCACCTTTGTCAAGAAAACTGCACTGCCAGGAGTGCACTCTGCAGCAGATTCTGCAGGCACTTCTTGAAGAAAACAAGCTAAAACACACCAAAAAAACATGTTTTCAGAAGTTTGTCCTTTGTGGGAGGGTTCAGTCAAGACTCTCATAAATATATGTTTTGTGTTTTCTCAATTTCTCAAGGTGTTTTTGTTTTTGTCCCATGGTGGCTGTATTTATGTGTTCCATAAAAGGGGTGATTTTTCAAGTGGCAGATAAATATACATTGCATATAATTAATGAAAACAGTATGCTTATTCCAAAAGCTGTTCCCTAGATTTCGGGGATTGACCACTTCTATATTCACGACTGATATAAAAGCGTGCATTTCAAAAGCTGTCCCCCAGATCTTTGGGCATGATGATTTGTTTAAAGATTATATATAGACGTATAGAAGCTCTGTATTTCACAAGAAACAATCTCTGTGAATAAATATGTTAATATTTAAACAACTTTGTATAAACATATGTAGATGTTTGTTTCACAAACTTCAGATCTCTAGGATTGATCACTTCTATATATGCAATTTTTGTACAGGCCATTTTTGGCAATGCAATTTTCTTGACACATGTTGACTCAAATTGTCAAAAGAACACACATTTGCGAGAAAACTGCACTGCCAGGAGTGCCCGTTATGGAGAGCGGGTAGTTGTGGCGGTGCGCTTTTTGGCCCATTTGGTATGACAAATGGATTATTTTAAATATATATACCTAATTCAATTGTGGATTATGTTAAATATATATACCTAAATCAATTGTACGTTCATTCTAATTCAGTTCTAATTCAACTCTACACGCATGCTAATTCAGCTTTCTTTCAAGTTCAATACTAATTTAGATCTAAAAACAATTAATTCAAATCCAATTTACATATTTCCATTCAAACCTAATTAATTTCAGTTTGTCAAAATGGAATTTAGAAACAATGTTCATTCTAATTTAATTATTGTTCAATTGAAATTTGGTTCTTGGTCAAGTCTAATTTAATTCCAGAGAGCAGGTGTTGCTGGGGGTGTGAATTTAAGACAAAATGCTATAACATAGTGTGTTTTACAGTGTTTTCTTGCCCTGGGAGTGCTGGGAACTAGATCAATACACTGCTTTTGAGTAAACAAACAGACTTGTTCAAGTAATTGGAATAACCATTTCTATATTAAGAAAGAATTGAAAGGTTTTCCTCTAGATCTTTGGAATGAATGATCCCTTCTATAGCAAAATACTTTAAAGCTTCTAATTCAAGAGTTTTCCTATTCATTTTTGGTTTTCTTTACATTAAAAACTATAGTTGAAAGCCTTTTTGTTCAAAAGCTTTCCTTTAAATCTCTGAGAACATTTCCATATTTAAAAGCATGTATATAAGCAGTTACTTTAAAGCTTACCTTATCATTTCTGAGAATAATCATTTCTATATTTAAAAATGCATTCTACACACATCTCTGGAAACTCTACTTTCTCAGAGATCCTGAGGAAAGCTATAAAAATAAAACCTTTCAAACAAAGCTTTTCAATATAGAAGTGATCAATCCCAGAGATCTGGAGGTAAGTTTGTGAAAAACACTTTTACGTATGTTTATACAAAGCTTTTTAACTATGAAACTATCTATTCCCAGAGATCCTTTCTTGTGAAATGCACAGCTGCTATATGTCTATATATATATAATCTTTAAACAAATCATCATGCCCAAAGATCTGGGGGGACAGCTTTTGAAATGCACGCTTTTATATCAGTCTTGAATATAGAAGTGATCACTCCAACAGACAAATCTAGGGAACGACTCTTGGAATGTAAGGAAAGCTTTTGAACCAGCAACTTTTAAATATTTTGTTATAGAAATGATCATTCCAGAGATCTAGAGGAACATGTTTGACATAGAAGCTGTTATATAAAGTTTTCTTAATCTAGACATGATTATTCCAGATATTACATGAACAATTATTTTGTCTACTCAAAAGCAGTGTTTTGACCTAGTTCCCAGCACTTGCAGGGCAAGAAACCACTGTAAAGCACATGATTTTATAGCAGTTTGGCTTAAACATACACCCCCAACAACACCTGCTCACTGGAATTAAACTAGACTTGAACAAGCATCAAACGTGAATTATATAAACAACAACTATATTAGAATGAAAAATATTTCTAAATTCCATTTTAACAAACTAAAATTAATTAGGCTTGAATAGCATAATATAAATTGGATTTGAATTAACTGCTTTTAGATCTAAATTAGTATTTATTGCATGTGAAGGAGTATTGAATTAGAATGCACGTAGAGTTGAATTAGAACTGAATTACTGTAGAATTAAATTGCACTTGAATTAGGTATATAAATTGCTTTAAATAGTCAATTTGTCATAGCAAATGGGCCAAAAAGCGCACTGCCACAACTGCCCGCTTTCTCTCTCTCTCTATATATCCACACAAAACAATAATAATATATAACTAAGTATACAACAATATAACATTATTTAAAGCTAACTTCTTGTCAGAAGAATCTCCAAAATCCAATGATTCCAATCTACCTCTTTGGGTCGCGCATTATTTATGGGTCCTTTTGGGGTCGCACTAGGCTGCTCAAGTTTCCTTCGCAAGCTGTCCCGTTTCAAACAAAAATCATAACTTAGTCCAGTGATTCACTCCCAGACGGCCAAGTGATGGTCTAAACTTTAGAGCTCCAGTTCGCGTGGGAACCTGGTACACCGAGGGCTAACTCAAGTTTTCATGAGTTTTCAGGCGGTGTCTCAGTCAACGGGGAAGACTCTCTATTCGGTCCCATGCTTCTGAATGGCCATGTTATCAGGTGGGCTTCGTTGGCCAAATCGCATCCGACGTACCCAAAGAGAACCATCCGACGGAACCCGATCCGATCGGTGTGTATTTGATTTGATGTGTGTGTGTGTGTGACTGCGCGCGTGTCAAAGCAGGCAGGTGTTCTGAATGGACGGTGGCCCTGTGCGCAGCTGTTTTTTCGTAGCACATCATCCACTCGTCGCGCTGGTCTTTTCTTCACCGGTGCAATGGAGCGAAGTGATGAGAGGGATGTGAAGGAGGAGATTCGAGAGGGATCGGGATCGATGTTGATCGCATCATGTCCTCAAATCCTTGGGTCAGAGAACTGGCCGGCAGTCCTGATAAACACCGTGCAGGGTGAGAATGAACCAGTCCAAGGAGACCCATGGAGACCCCATGACCAGTCCACGTCGCCTGTCGTCCAGGACACGAAGATTCGGAGCCAAGTCTCGGGACCGTCCGTGGACGAAGACCAGGCGCCGCTGGCGCCGAGCGCTCGGTGTGCGCGCCCTGGGCGCCACAAGGGGCGCAGAGGTGGATTCTATGGGATTCTGAGGTGGATATGGGTGCAACACGCCACACGTTTCGTGCTATGATCACCGTGCTTTTGGACAAAACATAAAGACCCAAGAACATCTAAGAACCAATGGAGAGATTTACCAGGTATGCTTCCTTGCTTTCGCCTATCTTCCAATGCGAGATTGACAACCAAGAAGATCACCACCTTTCGCCTCATCCACCACCTGTCGCCTCATGTTTCAACCACCACCCTTGGCCTCGTTGACATCCGCCAGGATGCGGCGTCCACAGCCTGTGTTTCCACCACATCCAGCGCCATGGCGCATGGTCGAAACGACCCGTTTGAGGATCGGTGAAGGTTGGGGAAATCAAACGCTGTGGTGAAATCAGGACTTGGAACACCGTGGAGAGCCGAGAGGCTCTCGTTGGTCGAAGCATCCGTCCATCTCCAGAAACCATTTTCGGATCGTTCTGTTGAAGGCAAAGGTGGATATGGAGTTTCCTTTGGAGGCTTTTTTTTTCTCATGGAGAGATGGAGGTATGATCTGGTGGCTCCGTGTTTGCAGACACGCACAACCGAGGCTCATTTGTTGAAGAGCTGAACCGAAGTCAGGCGCCATCCGGATCGACATACTGCTGTTGTGGCTGTTTGCATATGAATCGAACTAAGCACAGTTCAATTGTAACATATGTATATATAATATACTCATTTATCTAAGATTGCAATCAGACATTCTCATGGGATGGCAGGAGTGGAGTTTTTGATTGGGACACTCAACCCCATTTGACTGGCATGAGGTGGCAGTCACTATGGATCGTGTCTGGTGATGACCCCACTCAAGTAATGCATCGACTGCCCCTCTTGAAGTGACATGAAGTGGCATGAAATAGCTCTGCATATTATCGCGGGCTGAAGTGAGATGAGTAGAGGAGAGGAGCGGAGAGGACAGCAGAGGAGAAGAGAAGACAAGAGGGCATAGACGTAGGAGCACAAGTTAGAGCAGGGAGGAGAAGATGTATGAGGAGGGGTAGAGAAAAGGACGCTACGAACGGAGCAAAGGGCATCGCTACTAGGAGCAAGGACACTACTAGGGGCTCTTGGCCGTACAACGGCAGCCACCAGGAGCGCACTTCACGACCCTCGGTCCATGTAACTTCGGGCGGCATGCAGTGAGATGTGGCTTTGGAGTTGCATGAAGTGGCACTATCCTATCTTGCCCCGTTGCATGTCTTCTGAGAAAATTTCTCAGTTGTGAATGCTTGCGGAAGCGTTTTTGTGCAATTGACGTGTGTGATCTTTTGTGAAAGCTTAGCATTTCAAGGTTGATATCAATCTACAGTATATAATAGTGTATGTATATATATATATGTGTATATATGAGTATCTATTTGTATACACATTAACTATATCTTGGTAGTGGTGGTGTTCAGAGATAGATCCTGACTTAAGCAATCTCCGGTGTTTTGAGGGGCTTTCTTCGCACGCAGCTGGAGTTGAGTCTAGCCCAGTCTAGCTCACGAAATTGGGCATCACATTGTGGTATTCTTACGTTCGCTCGTAGGGACTACCTACTCACTACTCATTGGTATTTTGGGGTATCCATATATATATATATATATATACACACATGTACTTTCAATTGTTTACGAAAGCCAGCCTTCGTAGAAGGCGCCAGCTGAGTTATGCTTGGCGAACGAAGTGAGTAGTTAGGGGGTCTGGGGGTCGGCACATGCTGGGGGAGGAGGGTGGACGGATGGAAGGTTTTTTGAGGTGATTTTTGAGGGGTGGTGATGCAAGAATGCAATTTGCATCATTTGCATCATCTGAATGGTACGGTGTAGCTGGCACCTTGCCAGGTATAGACACCCAGGGTAGCTATAGTGCAGCTACCAGGTATAGTACTTCAAGTGCCCTTTCCATCAACCGCTCGATAACCTTTACACACGCACAGCAATCCGCAGCTTTGAAGTCTCATGCGCGCGATACCTGGGAACAGAATTGTAGCTACCCGGGGCCCGTATAAATGCTATGCTGCCATACCTCTTACATACCTATATAAGTTCAAAGCACGAATGAGACTTCAAAGCTTTGTTTTGCTGTGCATGTGTAAAGGTTATCGAGCGGTTGACGGAAAGGGAACTGGAAGTACTATACCTGGCAACTGAATTGTAGCTACCCTGGGTATCTATACCTGGCAAGGCGCCAGCTGAGTAAGAAGGGGGGGTTCGGGGGGTGGCCTGAGAAAGCACACTCGAAAGTAGATGGTGTGTAGGGGTGCGCGGAAGCAAGCTTTTGGAGGTGCTTTTTTGTGATTTTAAGAAATGCATTTGTCTTCGGTTGGTTGCAGTGCTATACTTGGCAACTGAATTGTAGCTACCCTGGGTATACCTGGCAACTGCCTTGTAGCTGCCCTGGGTCCGCGCGCGCGCGCCTAAATCACGGGCAGCCGGGAGCCAAAGGTGCGCGCGCGGACCCAGGGTAGGGAAATTGAAGTGGGATACCTGGCAACAGAATTGTAGCTACCCTGGGTCCGTATAGATGCTGTGTTGCTATACCTCTTACACACATATATATAAGTTCAATGCAAGAATGAGACTTCAAAGCTGTGGATTGCTGTGCGTGTGCAAAGGTTATCGAGCGGTTGACGGAAAGGGAACTTGAAGTACTATACCTGGTAACTGAATTGTAGTTACCCTGGGTATCTATATCTGCGCCAGCTGAGTAAGAAGGGGGGTTCGAGGGGGTGGCCTGAGAAAGCACACTCAAAAGTAAAAACGCTGGCTTTCGCTTTGCAGCTTCTCAGGTCTTGGTCCTTCTTAGCAGGAGTGTTTTCAAGTCTTTGATCCATGCTCTTGTGGGTTTTCGATGGTTTTCGAAGGCGCCAAAAAGAGATTGGAACCTGTTGCTTCAGCATTAATAGTACTTACATCATACATACACACACACACACATACATACATACATAAAACCACTTTACTTTGTTTTAGTTCAAATTGATGGCCTGCCAAAAGCAGTTTGGATGATCATGTTTAGACCGGGCCCGCCCCTCTCCGCCTCACCACCGGTGGTTTCGGAACCCGACCGGGGGCTGCATGGGACCAGGGCTTCCCTGACCGGGCACATGTGACGACTCTTTACGTGCCTTGCCCTGGCTAGTAAAGGATTAGGTATATTAACCTAGAACCTGGTTGGCCCCTGTTTTGGGGCCAAAACATGGTCTTTTCCTATCAAAACACAGGTCACGTCTGGGTTCTAGGAATGTATACAATCGATCGTTGTCCCAACTTGTTGAGCCTGCTGGTGCCCCAACTGGTTGAGCTGCAGTTTTCGGCCTGCTGCGCTTCTGAAGTGCAAGCGCTAAAAAGAATCATGTAGACCTACATGCCCAAACGCATAGGCTCACCTCCGGACCTCGCCCTTCCTCATTTCAACTCATTTGCGCAGGTGAAGCTCATTTTTACCACGTCAAGGAGGGGGCTGCGTTGCCTTGGCCGTGGCTACAGCACCCCGGATCCTTCACCGAGCCCACTTCCAAAGTGCCCCTTGGGCTCACTGGAGACGACCGCCAACCGGGCGAGCGCGAACCAGGTGAAGAGTGAAGAGAGGTGAGAAGAGTGGATTAGATGCGTTTGTTTGGGGCACATGTAGACAACAGACCCATGTAGATGTGACTGAGAAACCATCAACTGCCCCTACTAAACGAGGTCGCCTCTTTCAGAACCAACTTGATCCTAGGCTCCATTCCCAAGTTCAAAGTACTGCGGTGAGCTCTACCACTGGCACGGGTAAGCAGTGTGCGAACATAACTCTCACAAACAGTGTTTTTTTTCCATGGCCCTGACATGAGCCAAGTCATGACATTGAGAATCTGCAGAGCCCGTCCGAGGCTGAAAATCATGTCCGGTATGTCCGAGGGGTTGTGGAAGTTCGCGTGGCGAACTCGCCTCCTTTTGAAGCCCAGGTGAAGCTTTGAGAGAGGAGCTTGTGTTTGTGCCAGACTCTGGTGGAGCGCCGGAGGCCGGGCATGATTGTTTCGGTGTTTGGGCACGACAAGAGCGGCCAAGGCATGCCGACACACCAAAACCACAGGACTTCATCCTTTTTTACACCCCAAAAGCTCGGTATTTTTAGATCCATTTGGCTCAGCTGGCCTCTTTTTGGTGTTTTACTCATGTTCAGTATCGTGGTATTTGATTGGCCCGGCCCTCTGAAAGGGAACACTTGGACGGTGTGGGGAGGATGTTACGTTGTAAGTAGGCTCCTCTACGCGTTCTGTGTAAGGAACTTAGCATCGCGTGTTGGTGGCCTGCATGTCGAGACAAAGATGGCGTGGAGTTGGTGCAGGGTCACAGCACCTGTTTTTTTTCCTTTTTCGGACGGATCATCCAACTACTATGAGACCTCAGGTGACCTGTGTCCCAAGTGACCTCTTAGGACTCGCACCATGCTGAGAGCGTCCACGGATGCATTGAACACAACCCGTTGTAACCCCCACTGACAAACTCTGCTAAGGGCTGGTGATTGAATCAATACATCTTAAGACCCTTTGTATCCCTGTGCGCTCTTTGTGCTGAGAGGGCCGGCCTCAGCCTGCCCTTCACACCACATTTGCAAATATTGGCACCAGATGTGCAAAAATGATGATCCCAAGCTCACCCAACCATGTCAAGCTCACTTTTGTGAACTGATGAGCTGGGGCAACTGGCTGGGTAGCCCATTTTTTGAAAGTTGCCCAACAGGCTTTTTTGAAAGGCGGTGCAGACCGTTGAACCGTCATGTTGTGAAAGAGTTTGCTTGAAGAGAACATGTCGAACATCCAGACATTCCAGGACAAACCACCCTAACTTTGGCCAGAGATGATCTATATAGAGTGTATTATTTACTTTAGATTTCAGAGTGTTGTTTTCTCTCCGCCATTTTTCTATGGGATTCTTGTTTGTTTTGTTCTTGTCTTGCTCCACTTGCCTCCTTTGCCTCCGCTTCCTTCCACCTGCCCTTCCTCACCTCACTCTCAGCTCCATCCACGCACGTACTCACTCACTCATCGAATGACAACAGGTGGGATATATTGGCACTGTGACATACTTTCCCGGAATGTTACACAGAAATGTCACACTCAGCATCCATGATAAGTCTACAGGCTATTTCTCCTTGTGGCATACTCTTTCACTTGTAAGGTCCCCCCTTGTATTTGCGCCCATGCTGTGCACCCAGGTGGGTGCAAACTCAAAGGAGGAAAAGCCTTTGCAGGACTGAACTGACCAGGCCAGCACATGCGAGCACTGGTCCCCTGGACTGGCAAGCACTCCCCCCCCAAAAGAGAACGACAAGTCGAGGAAGGGTGCTTGTCTATATATTATATATATATATTTATTTAATTTGTTTTAATGATATATACATATATATATATATCATGATGATGTTGTTTTATTTGCTTCCTCCTGCCTGGGGCATAAAGGATGACATGTTTATATGTTTTGTTGTTGATTCATGCTAGAAATTCATTCCACGGCAGAATCGACGGTCGCGTTCCAGTGGTGAGTGCAGAACTCGACTCCTTCATCGTTGTCGTAGGACTCACCTGTGCGGGGCCGTGTGGAGACAGAACCAGTACGATTGGCTGCTGGGATTAAATATGATCGAAGGGTGGGACTGCTTCAGTCAACAGAAGAGACAAGAGAGTTGATTCGAGAGAGGGGGAAGCAAAGCTTGGTGATGTTGTATTTATTTGAGGTTTGAGACTAGTCAGAAGGGTTCTTGGTACTTCCTCTTCATAGCGCCTCCTGGACGCTTCTTGGCTCAGGACAAGGTGGGGGGGGCCCCGACGAAGCTTCCTGTGTCAACTGTTCACTGCGGTTGGGATATCAAAAGAACGCGCTTCACTTTTTGGCAGAATCCGGCCCACAAGAGGCCCATTTGCCAAGGAATGCACCATGCTCATCCATGCTCCACGTTCATGATGGTATGTGCTGTGCCTGAAATTCAGTCGCTTGGTCAAGGACCGGAAGGCCTGATCTCCGTGTCTTCAGCAATCACACGATTTTGCTCCACTCACTTCACGACACTGACTTCATTCGGCAAGTGGTCTTCATCGGCACGTGGCTGCCGATGAGATTGCATATTAGAATCTAGACCTCATGCATAAAGAAAGAACAGCCGCCGGATTTGTGACAACTTCAGCCGCCCACGATCATCAGGGTCGTCCACGTCGCCGCCACTGAGGAGCGGTCCATTCGTACTCCTTCTCCGGTATTGGAGAGGACCCCGAGGACGGGATGGATTCAGATCAAACGGAGTTGTATTGGCTCACCCGCAAGTGTTCGTGTGAGAGGCTTCGGGACCTTTGTCAGGGTGTACTATGGTGTACTGTTACAGAAACTTGGAACTGAAGCGACCTCATCCCTTGCGCGGAACTGGTTCCAAGAATCCGATTGGTTGGGACTTCGCCGCGGAGGCGACTTCGCAAGATACTGAAACAAGATTCAGCATTTGAGCACTAAAATCACTACGGCTACAACATTCAATAGTGGAATGTCCACATGTCACCACAATAGTAACTTTAACCGCTTGTTTTGACAGCAAGGCTCGCTGCTGGAAACCCTGCGTGGTGGCTGGAATCCACAAGTTGTGTGCTGTTGGATTGCCCCGATGAACGGTCAGAATGGAGTTGCTCGCTCAGTGCAGGAACTCATACCTCAGGGAATCTTATTAAGAGTTCTTATCATTTTTGGGATGAGGTCTGGGAATTCCACAAGCTCTTAGGACATTGAGAACACCCAACCTTCAATGCATCCTACGACTCCAGGCCGCAGTCAGGGTCGGACCAAAAAGAGGCCACTTTAGAGTTGGAAATGTGGAGAGCGCCCCTTGCTAATGCCAGGAATGTGCTTCCTCCTCCAGTGCTGCCCCATGTGGGCAACAACGTTCCAACGCACCTGGCTCAGACTTGGCTGAGGTTCTATCCTATCCAAGCAGTATGGCTTTACAATGCTTTGCAAACAGGATCCGACAGGAGGGTTGATAGTTGAAAACGGATCACAAATGGTTTATCACACATCGCACAAGAAATCACAAGAAAACATGGCAGAAAGCTGGCATATTCTGGCGGTTGTCGCGCAGCTAGTGACGTCCCGAAATGTGCTTGGGCGGACGCAGAAAGCTGGATCGTCCTTGGCGTTGGGGCGGACGTGCCATTGGTCATCCCTCGGTCCGTCGGTGTTTTCCGGCACCTGAAGCACCGTGACAAGGCACCCCGATTCCGTTTCTCATTATGCTTGATTATAAAAGATTGGTTTCCCGAGATTGAATAGGCAGGTTACACGAGAATCTTCAGGGGAATTGCGTGAATGAGGTTCCCTATCTCCGATCTCCAGCAATCATGGATGTGGATGGTATGGTCCCTGTTTGTATATATAGATGTTTGTGGAAATCTACTACAGACAGGGGTGCCTGCTACTTCCATGTTTGCTGGAGGGAGGGTTTAAATCCCCATCAAGACTTTTGTCTTCCCAAGTCATGGTGTGTAGAGGGACCAGGCCAAAAACTGTCTTGAGTCTTGGGGATTTGAGCCAAGAGTTCTGAGGGGGATCTAGCATGACGTGTTCAAGTCTGGGTGAAAAACGCCACCGGCCAGGAAAGGCAGTGGAACGCTACCGACGCAAAAAGGTTCTTCCATCGCCCGTCAACTGGGAGTAGCACCCGGATGGACTCTATGTGAGCCTATTGCTGTTTCACATTGCATTGTAAATTGTTTATTGCAGTATGGGTTATTACTTTCATCTTGTATCCTCTACCGTGTTGGCTCAAGAGCCAGAACAGGTGCAATACAGGGGAGTTGTACGTATGTAGGCCACTCACCTGTAGGTACACTCCACTCCAGCGACCCGTGTCCTACCGCAGAGGCCGTACGTGTCCCACCGCGGCATGGCAGTGCAAGTGGCCCGGACCTGAGCCCCCTTTCAGAAAACGCACATGTAGAATCATGTTAACTATTTGTGGTTATACTTATATGATTTATAATATATATTGCACTAAGTTCCCGCCCGTGTTTCAGATCCATCTGAAAGATGAGCACTCTTCTGCACTCGATGAGCGGAACTTCTTCGGCTGTCGCCTGCTGTCGCCGGATGAGGTTTCATGTGGGATGTCGATGTCGCCCACTTCACCCATGTCACCTACGACGCCCCACTTTTGCACATCACCCTGGTCATACCAAGGAGCCTTGGCCGAGAGTGGGGCCCAGGAAAGAAGCTTGAATGGCATATTACGTTCTCCGGATAGCCAGCAGGCCCCGAAGAATAGACTTGATTTGTAGATTGTAGCTGCAATTGGGGGAATGCGCTCCCACTTGCATGCTTCTGTTGAGGGGTTGTCTTGCAGCAATGCTTGGTCAAGCTGAAGTGTTATGCCAGGTGTCCCAAGTTCGGCACATGTTCACAAATGTCCGCCGCATTGCCGCTGCCAGATGTCCACCATTAAGCTGTTGGTCGAGTTGAGTGGGTGGGAGCGAATTCCACTTGTAACTATGATCTGCACAAATTAGAGCGACCCCAAACAAGGTGAGGTTTGCCTGCTTGCTTTAGAAAGCCGAAGTCGACAGGTTCATATGTGGTTGGTTGTGTCGGAGAACCATCCGCAGGCCGGGTGGAGGGCCCGAATCTCTCGGCTGAGTCGCGAGGGTTGAGGGAAACAGGGAGACCTCCCAGCTCGACCCCTGGAAGCAGGAATATCGACCAAAAACTATTGGTTGGCTAAATGATGTTAAATGCATTATACACATATATATATATATATACATTATACATACAACCATTATACATATACATACAATATACAATGTTGCTGCATGTTTCATACATATACATTATACATACATACAAGTGGGCCCCTTCGTAGAGGACAATAGCCTTTTGATGGTCCGCATTCGACATTTATGTCAATGACCAGCAGTGCACCACGATTGATGAAAAGAAACCATGTTCGAATTTGTTCCAGTGTGTATAAGTTTCTCCATCACGTGATGGTTCTTTTTGTGACACTGCCTGAAGATCCTTAAGGCCTATATCAGATCACTGATCAGCACCCTTTTGGCTGCGTTTACTGCAAATGTTGGCATCATTCATTTCGCTGCCCACGGTGTTGTAGCAGAAATTTAGAGAGGAAAAAGCGTCCTAAGGGGTCCAAGCGCCAATGGTACGAGAATTCATCAAGACTCTTGTAGCAGGGCATTCGGAAACTCTCCGCCGCTGGTTTGGAATTGTTGCAGCGTACAAAACTGCATGCCGGGTTTAAATATTTGGAGACGCTTCTGGAAGAATGGCATTTTCTCATACATATATATTTATATATCTCATATATCCTGTTCCTTGAATGATGCAACACATTGATTTGGACGCTTGGATGCTTGTCGGTCGATTCTACCCCCGTTCGTTTTCGTTCTTCGGACGTGGACCGCCGCGAGGCTCCTTGGGACATCCATACAGTCCCGCGGCCTTCAGACATCGAATCGGGGTTCCAAAACACGATCGACATCGGCACCTTCTTGGGATTGGAAGAGAATGCAGTCTAAGAATGGAATGGACATGAATAGACCAAATAGATGATCATGCTACCATGCTGCACCATGAATACTGGTGATCAGTGATTCATAGTGTGCATGTTCTGGGAACCCCTAGGTTTGCAGATTTACGATGTTGACTGGAGCCGTTGGGCACAAAGACACGTAAGTTATCAGAAAGTAAATATATGATCCTCAATGGTTCCGCATTTGTGCATGATTCCACCCGTTCGAGATGTTGCTCCAAAGATGATCATTCGAGTTTGTTGGGAGAAAACACGGTTTAAGCATAGTTAAGCTAATGCAGACTGTTGATTAATCAACCCCCGCTTGGGATTGTAAAAGCAAATTATGTGGGTTACGGGGGTGTTTATTAATCAGGAGTCTACATTACCTTATGGTTGGCAAATCGAAGATTCGACCCTGGTAGGTCCACATGTTCCACACCTGCTTGGCCACATATGTATATATATATATATTTAATATGTAACATATATCTGAGTATAATATGTATACAGGCAACCTTTTCCCGCGGTGTTTTTGTTGGAGGTGAATCATCCCAGAATCACAACCACACCCAAGTCCCAAGTCCGCGGTGTTCTTGCGAGGGCGTGTGTGTGTGTGTGTGTGTGTGTGTTTGGACCCACGGGGTTGGGCGAAGTGGTCACCAACTCGGTGGATACGATTGGAGCCGTTGTCGCAATCAGGGGGGGCTCCAACCATGTCCTCAGAAGGTGGTTAGACTTCCTGGCACCCTCCCTAACCACCTTCGAAACGGAGGTAGGCCAGGAGCCTTACAGATACGCATGTTTTGGTGCATGTTGGCTTCACAGGTCAGACTCCGATCTCTCAGGTATGTACTGTAGCTTAATCCAGGTCGCTTTCTGGTGCAGTAGAGACACTACGATTTGCTCTGAGCACCTGCTTGAGGCCTTGTTCCCGTGACAGGTGATGTCCTCCCAGCGAGGTGCCCTGCGAAAGCTGAGTGTCCAGTTCCAAAGAGGTGCGAAGATGGAGGATAGGCCTGCCAGGGCATCTAAGACCATCCAAGACTCACCCCTTTGGAACTGCTGGCTGGTTGTTCAAAGTGCGGCACTCTGATCGTTCACCGCTCGTGTGCTAAGATTGCGGGCCGCCCTGCAAGTACGTGAAGCAGCTTGGCCGTCCGGGTGGGGGGAGCCAACTGCAAGGCAGTTTGCATGGAGCGTCAAACATGGAGTGGATGCCCCATGGCCCTCTCAAGACCAATCAATCCATTGGTCTGACTGGCTGGCACCATGTTCATTGGGACACTCCATGGAGCCATATTGCCCGATTGGTTTAAAAGGGGTGCATGTGGGTTTATATGCATACATATGCCATATTATGCCATCATATGCCTCATATGCTACACATGGAGTGTCCAGAGTAGTGTCCAGGTATATAGGGGTGATGAAAGGAGACGGCCGGGCCATTGCCGCTGGCCGCTTGCCGTTGCACCACAGTGTGAAAGGCACGAAGGGGGACAACGATCTGGGCAACCAAGGGCTGGGGAGGGAACGTCCAGCGGCCTTTTCACGGAGATGAATTGCATGGGACCGCGCAACGCGCGCACGTGTGCGGATATGTCACGCGACGTGGGCGGAGCAGGTGTGGTTCCTTTGTTCTAGTGGCGTGGGTTTTGAGACTGTGACGCCACCATGAATCAACTTCATGATCGTTTTGCTGGGTGCCCATATGGAGGTTGAAGTTGATTGCTGTGCCGGCTTTGTATAAAATAAGTTCTTTTCAGATCCATGTCATGTTCATCAGTGTCTCTTCCTCTCAGGTCCAGAACTCTTCCCACAACAGGATGGGAAGGTGTATCAAACCTCGAATTGGCCAGGTCGTGCACGGTAGCTGCCTCACTTAGGTAGTTCCTTTTTGGATGATCCATGCTGATTCTTGTTGCTAGTGCTCAAAGCGCTTCCGCAGAACTGGAAGGTGAAGCGGGACCCCCTAGCCGATGGAGAGGCCCCTCGAGGCCACCACAGATAGTAATTCCTTGATGATGATGATGATGATGATGATGATGATGATGATTGCTTTTCCATTGGCTTGACCATGCAGCATGCATGTATCCGCGTGTGTTACTGTATATGCGGGCCCCCCACGTGGTGTAGGATTGGACCAGAATCCAATCTCAGGAAGACTCGCGGGTGCAAGGACGGGAGGCGCAACTGCTGATCGGCAGTTTTATGTGACACTGCTGTTGATTAGTCAATTTAATATTGATTGGACGAGGCTGTGGGTCATAACCATCGTCCACCCGAACCTGGCAACTTCACATCAACAAACACCGTACAATTGCAGCCTCAAAACTGTGGGGGATAGCTCGAAGCAAGCAGTTGCGTGATGGTTGCTGAACCCAGAGGAGCAAACAACCAGGAACTGTGGATGGAGCCCGGATATGTTTTCCTGCATCAGAGTGATCGGCTTCAAAGCACCAAGCAAGGGAGGACCCACATGTGTGGTGTGGCTCAAAGTATATAGTCTGTTCAGGCCCATATAAAAGTATAGATAATATAGGCGGTGACATGAGTTTGATGGATTGGTTTCACAAACAGGTCCTTTCATCAATCTTTCATGAGCCTTGTGGCAGCCGCCTTGACTTTCACTCGTGAGATCAACCATCTTGGTTTGTGGAACCTTGGTCTTTGTTTTGCCAGGTGCTGCACCCGGTGCCATTTGTGCCCCTGGCGTGGACGGACCTCGGGAAAAGACCAGACCGAGAAGGATAAGGCGCCAACTCCGCCGGACAGGCCCAAGTGAGGCGGCTTTTCGCGGCATTCGCACCATTCGCACCGGTCCTCGACCGTCACACATTGGTTTGGGAGATGGTTTTTGGGCTGGCAATTGAGCCGTGCCATAAACCCACTTGCGACAGGAATCTATCAAGGTTTCCAGCACAGCTCAATTGTTGAACAGTTGGTCACTGACACTTTTTTTGTTCGTTTGCCAAGCACCGAACCGTGGTTCGATGTGCCCACTTGACCCCTTGAGCATCTCAAGCCGTTTGCGACATGTTCCAGGTGTTTCCGATATATTGAACCTTTGGCGAGCGCCAGTTTGGACGCAATCAGATAGGCGTGACCCTTAATTTCATGGTGATGTTCACATATGTGTTTTCACATGTGTGCAGGCGACCCTTAGTAAGCAATGAAGGATGCTCCCGGATGCTGCTTATTCACAGGGTTGGAAGTCTCTTAGATCATACTTCAGGCTGATTGACTTTTTCCTGAGCATCGCTGCAGGTGCAGCGACCCGTCCCAGTGTTGCCGTACATGCCGGCAGTATGGGCGGTGTCACAGAAGGGAGAAGTTGCACAAGTTTTCCATTGAGGCAGGAACAAGGGCATCGCTACTAGTAACAAGAAACTGCTAGTAACAAGTGCATTACTAGTAGCTGCTTTTTGCTACTAGGCTTAACAATGCACTTGTTACTAGTTTCTTGTTACTACTGAGGCAGGAGCCGTGATGTTTGCGCTCGGTGATGTGCTCGGTGTGACACATCACGCATACGAATGAAACGGCGGCTGTTTTGGCACACATGCCTGACATGCCCTCAGCCAGGTGTTCAGCAGATTGTGCCATCATTCTACAGTGGTGTCAGAGTAGATGGCACAATCCCCAAGTTTGGTGGTATGAACCCCATCTAAAAGACATGCAAGGGTTTGTGCCATCTCTGAGTCATGTAGAACTTGGGCAGTCCGAGCCAAATGCATTTGTCGGGTTGGCTGAGCAGTTAGATTTTCTGTGGGTCTGGGATTCGAGAGGTTTGCGTGTACTTCCTCATTTGGTTTGAGCTATTCTAGATGCCTTGCTATGCCTTGTGTGTCTCCAAGATCAACCGAGCTGGGTTGCGTGTCTACCACAGTCTACTTTTCTGACTGGTAGCCAAGACGTCTCCCGCTCGGTGGGCTTGGCAGGGAGATGGAACAGGGGTGACAAGGGAAAATGGAGCCCGTTTCTATTGATGTGGGGACCTCTGTCTACACGTGACGTTGTGTGTAGTTGCCTTGTCCAGAGTCCTTTCTCCACTGAGGGTTCTCGCGTCTAGCAGGTCATTTCTCAGCCCAGTACCGAAGAGCCATTGTCATTTGCAGGCGAGAAAGTTGCCCAAAGTGGGCAGCAGGGGAAGAGAAGTAGAGAAGAGGACAAAGTTTTGAGATCGAGGCACGCAGGGCCAGTGGCTTAGCTGTCAGTTGCGGCAAGACTTCTGCGAGAAAAGCTACCTGAGTGAAACAGATGGACAGATGGTGCAACTGCCAATGTATTATAGTTGTTTGGGGGAGTTGAATCGGATTTAGGATTGTGAATATTGGGAGATAGGCCATGTACTGCTCCAGCACTGCAAGCAGCACCTGCTGACCACCAACACGTGGCCTCAGTTAACACGTGGCCTCAGTTTGCCGGTGTATGTCGCATGGAGCACCAAGGCGCAAAAGCAAGTCGTATACTTACATGTTTTCGACTTGGTAGAGGGGCTGCTCATGTTCATTGGACCCAAACCTTACTTTGCCTGTCGCTCTCCGTGCTGTTCTGGGCAGGCTGGGCAACAGCCCAGCGACGCAGGCACGCTTCCGGGCGCAGTTTGAGAGTTGCACTGAAGAATCCTGAAGTTCCCTTGTTGGTGACCACATGTGGTTGTGAGAGAATACCAAACACCCCGTGCGGCTTAGCGGTTTGATATCGTTTGATGTTTTTGTGATGGCCACCAGCCAGAGCCTAAATGAGATCTCGGCATGAGCTGGATCGTGAACTGAAGCATACCCAATCGACTCAGAAAAGCTCCGGCTTTTGACCACCAGCGCATGAAATGCACATGGGTGTGTTTTGTTGAACGCCAGGCCGACTGCATGGTTCAGCATGTCAATCCTTATATATATATATATACACGTACAGATTTTGTTGTGTCCCATTACCTGAAACTGCAACAGTCCGTACAAGATTCTCACTAATCATATCCAATTATTTTATGATGGCCTTTACTAACCATCCACTGTTTCTGGGAATGGGATATGCCTAGCCTAAGGTCTATGGCTGCAGTGTTGAAATCTCCAACTATCATCAACAACCTGCTTTTGGCTACCTGATGGGATTTGATGCGGCTCGTGCTGAGTCAAAGACTACTCCACAACTAGATCTATTTAGACATGTAGCGACAGCAGATAAGTCTGCAAGGTAGCGGAAGTGTTTGCAATTTATCCTGGTATACACATCTCTCAAGGAAAGCTCATTTTGTAGAGCCTACTCTTAATCCTAGCAGGGTCCCACGGTTTTTGGACCCATGGCTGAATGGCCAAATATGATGCCAATGCAGGGTGATTCAGCACTAGCGATGTCTTGGCCCACCGATATGCCGCCCAGATTTGAACATGTTTTCAGAAGAGGTGACATTCATGGAATCCGGCCATCAGTTCGGATGGCTCGCCTGTTGGAGTCCGGTTACAACGTGTCGACCTAAGAACCCTCCGACCAAAGGCCGCGGCTCTAAGATGGGGAGCAGGCCGAGACCGGGCCCTGAACAGAGTGGAGGTTGGAAGGTTCACCGGGTGCATGGCTCAGTTTGGTTTGGGGTGGTTCATTTTGACCTCAAGGTGGTGTGTTTGAGAATTGGGGTGTCCTGTAAGCCCACCACCATTGACCGCCGCACCGAATGTCCGGCCCCGAAACCACCAGCGTTGGCTGTGGTCAGCCGCTGTCCCGTCGTTCTGCCCCGTCTCGACGGTAGGCATGGACGCTGTGAGCTCGTATTGAACCAAGTGCCTGGAATACTGCAGCTGCGAGTGATGTGACTTTACCGGACAAGGAAACGTGGTATGATGTTGTGTGTGCCCGTGTTGGTGTAGTTACATATATTTAATAAGTTATACATAGTTATACAAATACGTACAGTACTGTAATTACAGTACTTGCTCTTTCAATTGTGAAGCATGAACGGCAACCAGTTCAGCCTTCATCAGCGGCTTTGTTTGGTTTCCCTGGCAGCCCGGAGATGCTGATGACAACTACAGTGTTTCCCCCCCCAGCTGCGGATGTTTTCTGACTGTTCAGATTCCAGATTGCTTGAAGCACGCAGTTTTCCAGGCGGGCCTCGGTAATTTGGTGCGTTTTTTGGCCTTTTTCCAAGAGTTCCTTCAGCTCACATGTGACAAATGCCCAAGTGACACATGGATAGAGTTGAAAGATCATCCCAGCTACGTGAGCTACGAGAGTTTGACAAGCCACCGGAGTCACGAGTCGTCGTTGACCCGACGTATTTCAAACGAACCGGCGCAAGGCGTGGGGTCGGCCGGTGGGTTTTCGTCTGGAGGTCTGAAAGGGATTGGCGGGCACCCATCAGATGCTCCATGTAGCGCACCGGTCCTGGGATGATCTTTTGGCTAGAAAGTTGAGGCGGAGCGTTTGTGCCTCGCGAGAAGGAAGACGCATGTCGGTAGCGCCCCAGTCCCCATGTCTAAGTGGCTGGTATCACCTGCAGGCTATTCCCATACGTCCTCCAGCAGAGCCACTTTCGAAGCTCCTGGGTAAGAGGATCTGAAAAATGACCATTGGTGTGGCCAGGTGATGCAAAGAGTCTGGGGATATCTGGGGCTGGGGTGCCACTGGTACAGACAAGTAGGGGGTTGACTGCAAGTCTGAAAAAGGGCAGCAGCCGACCCTGGTAGTGGCTGGACCTTCACCACTTTCTGTGATAAGTTTGTGGTGTGGGATGCCTTGTCGTGCCAAAGGAAACAACATGAAACAACGCAACGCCGCCCGGACCCCCCAAGCCTATAGGCTCCCCAGTCACCCTCCAGGTTCCTGAGCTTCAGCTATCCCTACATATCAGGTAAGGGACAATCTTTGTTGAATGTCAAGTTCTGAATGGCAGCATGATATACTCGCCGCAAGTCAAGTTGTCAATTGACTCACAATTCACCTTGGCAGGGGCTGCTCGCATCATTGAAAGTTGCCTTGAAACACACACACACACACACACACACAAATAGGTTGATAAGTGCACTTGCTCACGGGCTTTTGAAAGCTGTGTTGTTTCTTGACCCTGGCAAGGGGCGGCCCATCAACCTTGCTTTTTAACTTGCTTTTCTGCATCCACTGCCCTCATCCCTTGGGAAGAGCCGGCTTTTTCGTGACCGTCCGTTGGTGTCCCCTAAGGGGCCCAGGTAAGAGCACCCTCTCATGGCCAGAAAGCCCCTGGCTCAGTCAGAGTAGATGCTTTTGGTCAACCTGTGACCGCTCGACACATTTGGAGGAATCCTGCACTTGAGTGCCGGGATTGAAAGGTTTGAGACCGGAAAGATGGGCGAAGCTGCATTTTTGCAGAATCCAGGAGTGTTCATGGGTAACCACTTTTCTTGGTGTGTTCCTTTGGATCTTTCAGTGCACGTCATGATAGAACGAACACGTGTATCCCCGTCGTCTTCCATTTGTTTCTTTGTTCCGATTCCGGTGTCACTGGAATTCCTGCTTTCCACACACCCACCCTTCTAGGTTGCACATGGGCAGGGAAGAAAGCATGGCGTGTTGATGTGGTCAACACTGACCTTTGAGCTCAGCCCAAAGCTTGGATTGAAGACCCCTTTCCCTTCTAGAAGCGATTTGCCTTTAGACTTATAGATACTGTACTTACTACAGGATAGTTTGCTTCCAGAAAATGCCACCAGCGTTTTGCATCCGCTGCTCGACTCGTCTCATGCTTCTGGGATGAATTTGCAGATGGGAAGTGGGAAGGAACATTATCAAGTGTGTAGCAACATGTAGCAACCAACTGGAAACGTCACACAATGTCGAAACCCTTAAAGACAATAAAGCGTGTTGCTTATTGCCAAGACCCCAATAGGAGGGTGGAAACAACGATAAGCTTTGGGAACGGTGATGTTGCACAGTGTTCAGTACCCCCATGTGATATCAAGACATCATACTAACTTCAAAGTGGGCAGGACCGCGCAAGTGAGGTTGTATCTTTTGAGGGGCTAAACTCCATGCGCACTCAAAGAGCAAACAAGCAGCCAAGGGAATTAATATCACATTGTCGGTTTGTACTCTAATTGAATTCTGGAACCTATAGGCCTATAGGGACCTGCAAAGATTAAACTGTGAGGTGCAGGGTTTCTTATTTTTCCCTACTGACAAGCTGCTTAGAAACATCGACCGTTGCCGCACCCGTGGCCGCAAACACACCTGTCCAGCCAGCCATCACCAGCCATTCAGGCCGGCTCTCCGCAAGTGGTTAGGCGATCTACGGAGAATCTACACACACACACACACTTGCGGGTTTGCATAAGCCCAGTGCTTCTGCTGAACATGTGAACACGACAAACACCAATACGATAAATCGATGTCAATCACAAATAGACCTTGACCACGCCAGTGTTTTCCCTGCGGCTCTTGCTAGCGGCTAGCTACTTCGATCATTTATTTGAAGTGGATCGTCGGAGATGTCCGTAGTACCGTGGAATGTGGCCATTTGTTGATGGAACCGCGGCTCCTTTTTAAGATCGCGAAAGGTGCCGGAAACCTTGCTGGTTCAACAGAAGTGTCAGCTCACGACGTGTTGTTGTAGCCGTGCAGGATACCACTTTTGGAGGCGCACCTTCCGACTGAAGTCACCAGATTCATCCTTTTGGGCCCATGAACTATCAACAAACGCCGGTGCCGCACCAGTGGCCGTTTTGGGGCTTGGCGAGGAATCTCAAACGTGGGGGGGCTTGATGTAGAAGTAGCCCAAGGCAGAGGAAGCAGCTGCCAGGACCGAAGGAGGAACCCCCAACGGCATACCCGAGCGCCGACCGATGTGTTGGGTGGATTCTCGTTGTGTTTGATGTGTGTGGTCGAAGCAGTCGGCGGCGTCTTAAGAATTGCATCCACAGGTCCAATGCTGGCGTTTGATTTTTGCTTCCAGTTGTGGTCGAATATGTTTCGAAAGGCGAGACCAAGCACCAGTCTTTGCTTCACAAAGTGCTTCCAAAACCTCTTCAAAACCCAGACGGGGTTGGAAGGGAAACGCCAGAAACCAGGCGACAAGCAGTCTCCCCATCATGTAGCTTTGTCAATGCTGTCAATCCAGTTGGCTTCCCCTGGACTGGGTCCTCATGGATCCTGAGCTTGGCTTCTTTGCCACAGTGTTGAACCAGCTGTCGGTTGCTCTTGCGCGCTGTTTTCTAAAGTGGCCCGCCAGTGACAACATTGGTGGACCACGAGGCTGCTTTACAATCCAGCTTCATCATTACGCTTCGTAAGTTTTATCCATGGGGGCCCTTATGGCCCATTGCCAGTCCCATTGCCATCTTTGTTCATCCTGGATCCGGATTGGGATTGGGAAGCTGAGATGGACATGCCATTTGTGGATCGTTTACTGTAGCTGGACCTCCAGCTGCCTGTTTCGAACACGGTGCCCTTTTGACAGAACGCGCTTCTGAAGAGACGGCTGCACCAAGAGCCTTGGTGTTTTGTGTTTTGGGCTTGAGCCTCGGTGTTTTGTCTCCGAAGTCTAAGACATCTTGCGACCGGAGATGGCTCATCACGAAAGCTAGCATCAGCTAGCTGGAGTTGCTCTTGCTTTAGCAAGTCAAGGGCTCGCAGCCTCGAGAATCATGAATCACGTGAAAACTTCACGTGTAGGGGGGGGGCCCCCCGTGGTGGGGAACTTTTAGACCAATGTGCCGCCAGGGCTCCTTAGCATACTTTTCATGCAAAACCATAAGACTCCCACAAACGACCAGCAAAGCAAATCGACCTAACAAAAAAGTAATTTGCACGAAACCATGACACACACAAAGCAAAACAATGCTTCATATTTTTTTAACCATGCATCATCAAAAAGTACATACAGACGCAAACTTGTGATTTTTTTACCTTGAAATGTTAAAGTAAAAAACCACAAGTTTTGTAAAAGAACCTGGATAAAAAGGACAACATAGAACCAGACTCATCCTTACCAAAGCTCTCCCTGAAGGAAAAAAACATAGAAATCCTTTCTCCTAAATGGATACCGCTTCGTTTGATGTCTGTTTTTAAGCTGGTGACCTGGATTACCTGAACTTTGGATTACCTGAAACTTCACAATATGTTACAAACAGGCGATTTGTAAACTATTTTAGTAGCACCACAAACGTATTTAATGCGAATGCGGGGGCGAAAAACATTAGGTTTTACATTTCAGGAGAGGATAATACCTATTTGGATTTGAGTTCAGTAAGGTTGTTTGCAACTTTGCAAAATAACGATCGAACAAGACACCATTTCTTACGTCCATTAGGAGGCTTACATGCCTTTATTCAACGATACAGAGCAATAGTAGGAGGTCAAATGGATCGAAATATTGTTGAATACAATAGACACTGTGAGTTGTATGTTAGAGACATGGATGACATAGAGATGTCAGCTAACCCAAGATGGGACGCTGACTTTCATGACTATGCTACAGTAATGGTTTGGATGTATTATTGCAGGCTACTACTGCTGGTGTTACTCCAACCCCCGGTGTAGTAACTGTATCCCCTGACGGTGATAAAAATGAATGGGGTAGAATAGATAAAATATACAGTATACAAGACACTCATTGACAAGAATTTCCGGCGCTAATGGTAAAGCCCGATTCAGCCATAAGCCTGTTTGTGGGTTGATGCAATCAAATTATTATTTACCTTTGAGGTATGCGCCTTTGGAATTAGAATTCGCAATTGTTAATGATGAATTGGTACCTATTGTAGAACCACAAGGAGGCGCAGTAGGAAGCCCGAACACTCAAACTGACAAACAGGGGTATTACTTTCAAGCAGCTAACACTTCT